GTGGGTGACAATTCAGGGGGCAGTTCAGGATCTCCCTTTTGGCACCAAGCTGATTCAACAAGATCAACACCATCGGTGCTATTTATCGAAACTATTCGAGATAGTGTGTCTGCTACGGAGTTATTTACCCCAGGTATGTGGCAGATAACTGATGCGAACTGGAAGCTGTAATCCAGTTGTTACGACTAATGAGGAGAGTATTTATCAGATGCTGAGCCAATGGAGAAAGTTAGCGGTCTGTGGTCTGTGGAAATAATGAAGTCACGACCTTCAGCTGAATGTCAAAAATGGCGTACAGAACAGTGCATGGCTGGGAGTTCCGTACCAAATGTACTGTACTCTGCTTTCGTCTCCTCCAGTGGCCTCTGGAAAGGTGCTAAAGAATGTCACTGGCGGTCAGTCAACCGTTGCAAAACTGCTCCGGTTGCTGGGTCAGGTACACCAACAACAATACTCAAAGGGGCGTTGGGTAGCGTTGCATAAGTATGGTTGCATTCAAGATAGCTTACCTAGAGAAAGCAAGTCTGGCCACATTACCCAGAAACACGCACTTGGTAGTCCGTCGAAGTATGCCTGTGAGCGACCTCATAACATGGGCAAGGTTGGTAGTGGACTTTCGTTAGTAACTTACCAGGTCGCTGAAAGTGCAAAGCCGCTTTATAGTGGTAGGCTCAGGATAGCTCATGACAGGCACCACTTATCTGTAAGTGGGAGCATACCATTATCGTAGACAGTCTCCTCAAGGAGGCTGAGCGACTCGACTCCCACTCCACACTTCTGTACACTGACTGTGATAGCATGCTTTTTTAGTCCATCGAATGTGGGATCTGTGTTTAAGGTGGGTTCCCTTAGAGGGACTTGCAGTGAGACAGTCATCACTAAAGATGTTGTGTTGGGAGTGTTTTGATTCTATTCTTGTAGTGTATTCGAAAACACTGATCGCTCACTCTGTTCGGTTTCATCCAGTTTACTTTTATGGCCATACTGAACCTCCTGTTTCAACTGATGTCACAACTGTATTCCATTCCGGCCAGAAACCGCAGTAGCCGTTAAAATTGAAGGCTTATGCTTGCATTTTGTACGCATATTTTCCTATAAGGAAAGAGTTCCAAGGGGTACAATCACTATTTTAATATATGTTCGTTGTGTGGTAACCAAGTATCTGGAAGTTCGTTGGTCTCACTTGGGTTTGGGAACCCTGGAGATTGTATTTTAGTTACGCGCTATCGGTGGATTTGCCGTAACAACGAGCGAAACCTGAGGCACGAAAGACATAATCGACAATGTGCTGGAATGTTTATGCTGCTTTTCGAAGACCAAGAGGCAAGTGCAGGAATTCAAGCAAGCACAGAGGAGCGACAATAGCTGTTTTCTTTGTACCTTCAGGTGCTCTAGGTATCTGATTATACGGTTCAGGCAGATCGATTTTGTAGAACATGTTCATTCCGCATAAAGTCGTGGTCGAATCGTAGATGGGATGTATCGGGTAGCAGTCCGGTGCTGTTTTAGCGTTAAGCCGTCGGCAGCCATTGGTAGCACGCCGGTCGTTGCTATCCTTTTCGGTCACCATATGCAGTGGTGACGCCCCAGAACTGTTCTATGGCATGATAATTCCTAACTCTACCGTGTGATCAAATTCGGTTTTCGCCGTTCTAAGCCTATCAGGGGCTAGGTGGCCTACTTTGGATGGAAAAAGTGAGCCCGTAGTCGTGACGTAATGCATAACATTGCTGGTTGTGCACGGAAGAGTACGTTTCAGTTGCTGTAAATCCCGATATTTCTCTAACACTGCCCGGTAGGACGCGTCACCTGAGTGTTTAGTTTTAACGGTGGCCAAACTTGGACCCCCCTGGGTAGTGCTGCCAATGGATAGCTTAGATTTGTTGTTTATCGGTCGTCAACGACGAGCATCTACGAGTAGATAGTAACGGTCCAGAGAATCCGTGCCGGCGATGGGCATAGAGACATCAGCTAGGAGGAAAGTGTAGTGAATAGGTTTATGTGGACCCAGGTCGAGTTAGGCATACCGTCTCTCAAAGGTTGCGATCGCCCTGCTGTTAGCTGCTTGGAGATTGAACAATCGGTCATGATGACGTTCCTTCGTCGTTGCGAGGAAAAAAGCCAACTTCTGCGCCGGTGTCGACAAGGTGGTGGACTGTTGCCTCTAGGTTGGCGACGTGCAGTAAACGAATTTTCCGGACGGCTGTGGTTGCTGTTTACGTGTACCGGAGGTGCGGTTCATCCGAGTTTGAATCTGTGTCGGAAGTGTATGGTGTTCGACAGTTTCTGGCGTCATCGCCGTAGGTAATGTTAGGCCAGCATCACTGAGGGTTTTCCACCCTGTAGGTTTCAGTTTTTGAATCACCAAGCGAGTTTCTGCGGTGGACCGGGACGTGTTCCCGTGTCGCAGTACACAAACCAGGGCTTCGGGTTTGTGGCAGCTATTTAACGAAGATGCATAACTGCGTTACTCCGGAATCCTGGCTCTCAGCTGTTTGGTGGACCGAATGTATGTTAGAAACGGGTCTGCTAGAGATCTGCAACATTTCATCTGCTGAGGGCGCTAGGTCATCGAATGGAACTCACCAGAGTGTCACTGACGTGGTTTGTGCCAGTTGTGGTAGTTTCGAGAGGAAAGACTCCTAGAAAGGCCATTATCGAAAGTTCGTGTGCTCACAACTTCTCGCTTGCCTGCGTGGACATCAGTAAATGAATTATTCCGTAGCCCGTTGACACGCAGCAATTTGTTCAAGAGCTAGCCATCTGTGGGATCGCTTTTTCTTAAAAGTGCCGCTTAGAGGAGTGGGTAGGGATCACTTAATTCGGGGCTAAACATATGCACCCTAATGTGCTTGTTTAATTCCCGCGGTGATGAACATATGACAGCAAGAAATCGAGAATTCGGATCTGCGACCCCCTGTTCTCAGAAATCTGTCTCGGCGTACAGAAACCATGTCTCTGCACTGTTTGGCCAGTGTGATGATAATAATAATAAATATTTTATTCCCGCATTGGTAAGTAAACACGAGGGAAGCCAGTTTACAGGTCTTCGTAACGCTGATGAATGTTGGAAAATCTTCAAGATTTTACGGGTTCTGAATAGTATAGAGGGTAGGTCGTCATATTCAAATAATGAGATCGGAAGATTCCGCCAGTTATGCAGCGAACAAGGAAATATCACTTTTCAGCATATACAGAGCGTTAAAGTTTACATTGCCCTCAGCCATACTTTTTCCATCATATGTAGTACCCGGGTGGCGGACAGTTTCAAATTTTCGTTACAAGCTGTCAGCGTGTTTGACTCGTCCTCGTAATGCCACGTTACGCCAGACAAAAGTCTATTTTATCATAAATTTTTATGCTAATTGACTCAGAGACCAAAAGAACCCACATTAACGATTTCGGGAATCAGTAAGTTTCCACAAGAGCATGTAATCCAAGTGAATATCTACGTCCAAGCATTTCCCTCTCTTAAGGCCCTACCGTTCAAATCAGTATAGATTTAGGTGTTTTGTGCAGAAGAGCAGACATTTAAAGAACCTCAACCAGCGGCAACGAACTTTTCACACTGTTCACGTTAAGGTATCCAGGACTATCACGAGCTCAGTGGTGCTCGTTGTCGGTTCGATACGGATAAGTATCGGAGTGTGATTAAATATGGTTTAAATGGTGGCCGACGGAATAGAAGTGGCCCGCACTTAACTGACTTCTGCGTCCAAAATCCGTGGATTACTATCTCTTATAGTGATTAACCTGTGTATACTCAAGGAAAGGGGAAAAAGTGGTGGTTAAAGTGTGAAAATTCAGTTGTTTCTGGAAAAATCCCAGGTTATCAAAATGAAAACGATGTACAAGTGTGAAAAAGGACTCACTGGTGCGAGAATTTTCCTCCAGAGAAATAAACGGGCACCAAGGTCAGTCACTAACCACTGGAACTTTTGGTATGCCCACAGATACGAGACCGAGGAACAACACACTAGCGTAGTCAGATGGAATAGTATGATGATTATGAGAATATAACGATAATACTTATTCCTGAATATACAGGCACACGCCATTTCTACAGACACGAACAGGTTACCTTATAAATTACATGTATCTTTACGGCAGGTCATCTCAATCCCTACCTTTTCTGTCACTAGTGGATATAAGTGCTGCGTATTTATATAACGAAACATCCTAGCAGGACAATCATGCAAAAGGTCTTGTATCCGAACATTAAATGCATTGCCTGAAGAAAAACAAAGTTTGATGCTAATGCTTTTTTTGTAACACCTTGTACTACTACCACGGCCGCCCGCTGCAAAAGAAGCAGCTATCTTTCCTCCGTGGTATAGTCAATAACGCCTTGGGGTTTGAAGCGGTGGGTTCGAGTTTTAGTTTTAACATCACCCACTGGGATACAGGCACATCCAGCCGATGAGTCCCAACTAGGACGAATTGAGCGTCCTGGACTCCTCTGCTAGACATAACCAAGGAAATTAGCGCGATTATTATTCAGGCAATATCGAAGCACTCGCATAAGAGCCCATGTGCTAGTGGAGATCAAACAATTCCACCCACTAAAACAACGAAGAGTTACAAATATATCAACAAATAGTAATACTTACACTTTTGCTTGGGATAATGGTCAAGGTTCGTGGGAGAATGTGTAAAAGCTGTGATGTGAGACACGGTGTTAAAGTACTGAGGCGTTCCGAATAGCTGGCTAGAGGATCGATTACAAGCAGTGCAACTTAACACAACAGTATGTCAAACGACGTCGATGACTGATTGTGGATAGAAAAAATGTCCGTTTACACTATAACAAGCTATGAGAACTAAAAATACGATTTTCATAAACAGCGCTTGGTGGTACGAACGACATTTAAGAAAAGCAATGTCGGTGGTTGTTGGAAAAGTTTTCTGTTTAACATAACTAAAAGCAATATATGAAGGTCGTTGGTGATCATTTGTCACAGCTGTCTTCCTGAAGGTCATTGTGTTGCTAGAAATGGAATATGAAGTTGACAGTTTGTTTTGGCGACACAAAGGTCGTAGTTCCATGTGGATCAGGGAATTTGACTGTTAGGGATCTGACACTTAGTGGTCTAAAAAGAGTTAGGCACACTCTACCAAAGGTGAGCCATGTTCTATTTAAAAGAATAGTATTCTTGTGTAAACTTATATTATTTTCATCATATATATATATATATATATATATGCAACACATAGTATAAGTAATTTTTTCTGCAATATGTAGTGATTGATGTCTTTTTGTCTTTTTAGCTTGGACCCCAGGATCGTATTGTTGTTCACAGTATCAATGTTGCGAGAGATGGTGGTATGTTGGATTGGGATGATTTAGTTTGTGATGTGCTTGATGATCGTGAAATGGTAAGTTCTTCATACGTTTCTTGTGCATGTTGTGCTTTTTCTCTAAATGCAATTTGATTTTGTAGCTTTCAAGATGAGTTATAAGGTGGTAGAATGATTTTAGTAGGATATATGAAACATATGTGTCACTGAAGTAAAATATTCCTCTGCTTTTTTGACTGGATGATATGGTATTATTTAAGCACTAAAACAGCATGGTTCCCGAAGGGGTCTTCATTCGGATTGCAAGGGATTTCCAAGCCAGGTTTTGTTATTCAGACAGGTAACATTATGAAATTCATGTAGACAAGTTCCAGAGTTGGCTTCATCGAGGTATATTTTACTTTGATCTGTGACACTTAACCTTAGAGGCTGATTTCTGGCCTATGAATCGTGATAGTGAATGGCAGGATTGAGGGTTTAGTGTTTCGTTTTGTCTTCTAGTCCTTTTCTAACGGATGTTTATACTTCTCCAACCCTCCTTAGAATGAGTAAGTTGGTGATGAGGGCATCGTCGCTGTCTGAAGTCGGTTCCAGTAGTTAATTAATCGGTGAGAAAGCCAATAATTCTCCTTAGTGAGGTTCATCCCCAACCTTGTATCCTGTGTCTTTATTCTCGGATGCTCCAACTTAGTGGGAAAGGGAAAAAAAGTCTTTAGTCATCTCTTAAACTCTGCATGAAACGGCTTATTCTCAGTTTTGTTGACGTTTCGGCACCTAAAGTCAGTGAAACTCTGCGTTACTTTTTGTGCGATTGCTGTGTGCAAGAGCGAGTTTGTTTTCCTATTTTCTTTTACAGCTTAGGTTTTGTTTCTCACAACTCGTTATCTATAAAAGTCATTAGGTTGTCTGGCTTTTGTCGAATTCAAGCTAATCCAGGACACATTTGTTTGCGTGCTAACCTATGACTGATTGCAGGATATTTCATTGACTTTCTATGTCGAAACGTTAGATTCACCAGTCACGTCCCTGTCTGAAGTCATCGTCCTTAATTTAAACTGGTTTTCGTAGGGATCATTTAAGTAGCCATCCTCTGAACTCCTCAGAAAATGCTTCATGTAGACAAGATTTTTCTGTTCGGAACTGTTCTCCAGTTTGTATCTAACCAAAGACGTGCATAGCGTGGTGAATATGTTACCACTGATGCCAACGAAGATCGTATATTTTGTCTAATATGTCCATCTGTTAATATCAGTATGGAACTTGGTGTCATTGTGTAGCAATCTAAGTTGCCATATTCAACATCAGCACATCAAGGTAGAAGAAATCAAGATAAAAAATAGGGAAATAGGAAAACTGGTAGTCAGAAACAACAGGTTAAGCAATCGCAAACCTCGGTGTAGAGATTGAGATAATATATTGATGTATTTGTTCTGCTCCAATCGTTTCTGAGCCTAATCTTTAACAACCGTTTCCGGCTATTATGCGGCTCACAACCACGTAGTCTACTTTCCCCTACATGGCCATTACTAGCAGTCAAGGACTTCACTGGTTGGTGCTGTTTTTGTGTGACCGACTTTAATCGTTTTCTAGCTGAAAACTTACTTCATCTAACATTGAGCGACCAACTAGATAATGGTTAGGTATACATAATTCGCCTCATCAACTAAATTATATTTTTAACCTAAAACTAGTCATAACCTTTGGACTAATAACTCGATGGTTGCTCAATAAATTCCATACAATTTATGGCTGTGAAATAACTACATGTTAACTGAAATGAATTACTGTGTATTATCCATTTTCTGTGCGTGAAATCAATTATTTCACCATAATGAACTATGGTGCTTCATGGACATGTGATCCAATTGCATATTTAGATGACTGAAGTCGTGAAAATACAAGGGTAAGAAGACGTTACTGCTTATATGCTGTACATTGAAAGAAATCAAAAGATTGATAGCTAAAGGGTTTTAAATAACGTATTTCGCATGTTTTTAAGTGGCTAACATGGACACGTGGACAAGTGCAGTGATGTTTAGACAGTGAAGCTTGCAAAAAGTTAGAATCTTTGATAGTTTTAAAGTTGTATTTTCCAGTTATCAGTTGAAACACAATACCGAGGCATATAAGCTTGTTTTTCGTTGTGATATCTATGAATAGTAACGCTAGTTACTGTCATGATGGTCAATTTATCTATTACTGATATGATATAGCTCTGATTGTTCAAACCTGGTTTTCTGATCTTGTTGCTCTATTTCTTCCAATTTATAGAAGCTGACTGATCTATCCGAAAGTTCAGCTTGAAGGCGTTCAACTTTTCTTTCCTCGAAGTTAAAGATTTGGTCTTTGAAATGGGTAAGACACTGTCTTATCTTCCTTCGCCTCTAATCACAAATCGCTTCTCAACATTCACTTCTCACTGAAAAGCGTTTATATAGGTTTCTCTCTTCTGGTGTAGATTGTGCTGGAACTTCTTGGGTCTTATTGGTTACCATGTTCATAGTGCCTCTCTTTGCTATTCTTTCCAGTTTACGACCGCAACCTTTCGTAAAACTTTTGTTAACGGATGCAAAAAAGGTATACTGTGCATCTCACCTATGAATTTGCGTGAGTCTTCTACTAGGGTCTCATTTAAATCCCCAGTTGACTTTTCAAGTGTTCTAAAAATACTGATATTTTCCCACTGTTTCTTCATTCTTGAGGGCGTATCTTAGTCTTCAGGAAGTTTCTGGTCAATTTCGAGCATTTCTATAGCTTCTCATACCAACCTATGGTTCGTAGACCAACAATCGCCGCATAAGTAGAGTGCATGAAGCTTACAACAACGCTTTTGTGCTTCTAAATTTAGACTATTATAGTCCTTGTTAGGTCTTCCGTTGTAGTTATCGTATCACATACTGTCTTCCATCTGTCACAACGATAATTTTTGTTGATCATTTGATTAACTTGGTGGCTCTAGACATAAGTTAGACAGTAGCACACCGTAGGCAACAGAAATACTTTAACCTCAATGTTCACACTGGAAAAGCTGTGACCATAACCAAATACAAAAAAATACCTTATTACGCCAGTATCCATCGAAAATAATCCGCACGAATGGATATAGGTTAAAACAGTTTTCTAGTCGATAAAAATCAGCTGAGTCCTAGTATAATCAAACACAACAAGACCAACAAGGAAACCTGTAATTGTACGTATACATAAAAACAAACTTTAACTGCGATAGTTTGGAACCTACTAGATCACCGTTTGATGCGGTAAACGTAATATAAAAATAATTTGGAGCGCCCTACGAATCACTTCCTTCCCACATTTCTCACAATATTAGATGTATACTGGTATTCTCTGCATCTGTTTTAAATAATGACTCATAGGTGCAAGGCTAAGTTGAGTATTTTATTGCTATAATTTTTTTGGAATGATGTTACAGAGAAAGAAATACCACTCAAATAAAAACCACATTATCGTTAGACATAAAACCTTAAGCCAATCATGGCTCAAGTAAAACATCATAACAACCTCAAGGGGATTTCAGTGATACGCACTTGTAATGGTGCTTATAACTGTAGCTGCTCCGAATTAAATGTTATCACTGCGGTGTGTTAGGGATCTTCATACTTATTCAGTTGAACAGATAATAAACCTCATTCGTTTGGTGCAAAATGTGTGTATTTTACATTTCAATCTGGACTATGGGTTCATTGCGTTTTCATTTGTTTTAGGTTACTGCTCACTTTTCGATTGCCACTTTAGCATGCAATGCAAGTGATTCCTGTCCAGTCCGATCTTCAGCGGGTGTCGATTCTATCTTTCAGTCGCTTTCTACACCTCTAGTTGTCGACTTATGTGCTGATAATGCTACTGGATCTGCCTTTCGTAACACGTTACAGTCCAATGGTGCTGAAGGATCTGCAGACAATAGGACAAGTTTCGCATCTGCATGTGGTAGTGGGTTGGGACAAACTGATACAAACTGTCATATTACAAGCAGGCTTCTGCGCATTGGAGATGGTAGTACAAGCAGTAGCAATTTGAGCTTAAATTTAAGTAATGACAGCTGTGGAATGAACCAAACTGCTGGGATACACACATCCCAGTTTTCATACGATCATCATGAATGGTTTCCAAACAATGGATCTTCCAAAGACTCTAGTTCGAGAGTCCGTAAGTTTTTTGCATCAGTGAATATATTCAGATAAATGTAAGACTCAGTTGCTTCGAAAAAATTGGGTACCGAGTTGATATAATGCACCACATTAAAGGTTTTCACTTATGCTGATGCAATGTATCGGATCAAACAAAATCAATAACGTTTGTATTGTTCGCCATTTGTTCCAAACTTGAAAATATTCATTTGACAGTGCATGAGCTTTTCATGGATATCATTCAGGTAAAAGCTTACCATCAGCTTCATACGCTTAGGAAGGATCTTTTTAGCAAAATTAAAGTGTTAAGGAGTAACAACATGGTTTTTTGTTTGCCTTAGATTTCCTGGTCGTCGTCTGCATGACAACCAAAATCGTTGCTTGTAGACCTTAGGTCTTATAGATCAGAATCAGGCGTAGTGGTGCAGACACCCGCAAACCGTCTTCATCTCAATCATCATATCACAACTCATTATTTGATTATTCTCTTCTTTGCTTCTCGTGGCTTTATATGATTCCACTTTCGTTTCTCTGCCTTTCATCTTATTTCTTTGTATCTTGATATGCTGATATAAAGAACGGAGATCTGGAGAGTTACTCAGTGATATCAGGTGCTGTGTTAGTACTGACTGATTGATTGGTTTGCTCTGCTCTCATACCCCGCATTCAAATTATACAAGTGCATTTCCTTTTAAAATCTTGTTATTGCATGGTTTGTGTTACTTTCAACGTCTTGCTACAGACAGCTAAACTCCATTATAGACATAATGATGGAAAAACCCAACATTACTGATTGATTTACTCTCCAGAAGGCCTCTAATTGACTTGGAGTGTGCGAAGTGAAACGAAATTCTGGCAGCACCCTTGTGCACATTCGTGCAGTTGGCAATGAGTCACACCTACTATGTGACGATAAATTATACTAACTGGCTACCTAACCCTCTATAGAATGGGCGGTATTCGGACCCGTGACCCATTATTCACAAGTCCACTGCATAAACTAGTGGGGCACAGCTCCATACGATATTGTCCTGCTAGGAGAGGGTTCTGAAAACAAAAAAGTTCTGAACATCTTGAGCCAGAAATCTGAGTGTTTGACGTGCGTTTCGTACCTATCAAATGCGAGATAGTGCTCCAGGATCAGTCTGCAATAACTAGTTTTATGATGGGGAGTTAAGTGGTTGAATGTGTCGATCGCTTCGCTTACTTGGGGAGTTGCATCAACCCGAAAGGTCTGGTTGGTAACGATATAGCTAAGATACGGAAGACCCGTTTGGAATTTACCACTTTGCTTCATCTCAGTCGCCAGTTGGGGAAATATCTGACTGCCTGTTAAAGGATGAGTATACTGCGTTGCAGTTCGTTTTCTCCTCCTATACGACTGAAAAATAGCTGTTAAAAATAAAATAATATGCAGAGATTATAGGTTTTTGACCCTAGGTTTCTTCATTGTATTACTTACGTATGGTAAAATCACCCTATGAACAATGAACAAGTTAGGCGAAGGGTAATAAGCAAGGAGGGGACGCTGGTCAATTAGGTTGTGAACCTAAGGCGGCTTGTGTTGCACATCCCTAATCATCACCTACCTCAACTTGCAATGTCACCCGAAGCAGGATTAATTCTGAGAAGTCTAAGAGTAGTCAAACCACAACATAGCTTCATACCACGAATTCTCTGACTGTTAGTCCGAACCGTATAGGTAGATGTAGACTGTCTAGTCGTAGTCGTCGAGGTAATGGGAATCAACAGTTGAGGACTTGGCGAAATCGCTGGAAATTGGTTACAATAACGCAGATTTTATCACTTTTTAATGAATATTTTTGCTAACCTTGATTTTCAAGTTGTCATTCGTTCTACACACTTCCCTCCCCCCTCGTAATATCACTTTTCCTATCCACTTGTTCTTTGGGTGTTACTGTAGAGTGTGGCTCCTTAAAATGAGGGACTTCTGTGCGACGTTCTGTGTTGAGTTTGACTGTCTGTATGCTTGCCTCAAGAGAGGTCGATGGACTAACTTTTCGGTTAAATTTAACAGTTACGTAAGGGTTGATAGAATTTTTAGTTTGGGTAAATACCACAATATTGAGGGTTGTAAGTGTTTTTTTTAGTATTGCTTCCATGAATATGAATCATTGGTTCAAATGCAATACTTTCTGTTACTTGCTTATATACTCTATCATGCCATCTGCTAATGGTCATGAAGGCAGCAGTATAATAATGTCTAGCGCGAAAAGCTTTAGTCAGAACTAGTGCATAGACTTGTTCTAGGTCGACATGGTACACTGCCTGCTTACTAGTTTTGATAACTTAGAGAGAGTTCCTAACTTCTGTTCGCCGTGTAGTTGTCTAAGAACTGTGTATTCCTTCACACAAGTCACTTCTTTCGTCTGCTTTTGCAGATGAAGTTTATTTACAGTAATGGGATTAATTAATGATGAGTTACTGCAAAACCACTCATTTGTAGCGAAAATGTCAGACTTCTCAAAGCAAATGACTGTTTACAGAAAACTACTTATCAGGTCTTGCTTTAGTCATTCAGTATTCATCGGCTATCAGGTCTATGGTTTATACTAATGTAGTGCAAAAGTTCCTTCTGTGAACCACATATTTCACGTCAAAAACTGTGGTTATTCATACAAAACTAGTCACTAAAGAGACCTATGATTACTTTTAAATCATAGCCTTTACCTTGACTTGACAGCTAAGTAAGCTTATCGAAACAATGAAGATAGACTACAATTTCTGTAACTCACTTTTTTCTTGGAAGCGTTCCTGATTAAAAATGAGGATTCGGCATGTTGCAACTTCTTTGTTATCGCAATGACAAGCGTAAAACAGGCTCGTTTTAGAAGTGACTAACCGCTTTGACGTGCAGAATTCCACTGGTGGCGGTGAGATTTTAGAATGAAGACCCAACTGTTGAAAATGGATACTGAACAGTCTTAAAAAGGTGTAACCGTTCTGAAGAAAATATTCCTCGGGCATTGTGGTAACCCATTCATGTGGATAAGTCAAAAAATACAAATTCCGTTTTTTTTCGGTTGCTCTTATATGAAGTAACCTTCAGCGCGGTGACCAACCGGATAGTGTAAATGACTCCCCACATCTCCAGCAGGATCTGAATTTCTTTTTAGAGTAGTAGCGCAGCTGATTTAAATTCGTGAAGACCTAGCATAATAAGTTAGTGATTCAAACCAAGTAAATTATTAAAATATGTATTACAACCTCAGTATGTTGGATTCACTATTTGCACTGTAGCATACCTTCGTCACCTAATCCATAGAAGTTAGGTTGCAGATCTGTGACTGCAGTTAGTGGTTAACTGTGCAAGCCAATAAGTTACTGTTGAAATGTACATAACTTGACCTTTGGTGTCATTTGATGACGTAACTTTTGGCTATCAAAGCATTCGTTACTTTTTCTTAGCGACGTCATGTATGTGATGAAAGGTAGTTAGTGTTTTGGTACACTGGAGACTTTCAAAATCACTTCAAACATCGATGATGGTGATCTGGATGCTTCTTCTCCTATCTCAATGCTTTCCATATTGCCGAGTGTTTACTGACTGTAGAAATGATTATTGGTGATCAGTTTATAAGCTGGCACCAGGGGATGAAAAGTGGCTGAATTAATTTAACATTTGTCAGTGCATCTCGACTAGCTCGACTAGCTCAGTGTACCTGGTGATTAGATAACCTGAGATGTCAGATGTGCTTGAAAGTCGAAGCTCTAATTCCTCCATTTAAGAATGAGAAGATGATAGCTATCTATGTGGTTACTGTTGATTTGAATTAGGTGCCAATGTGTAGGCAATTTGGTTAAAATATACCAAGCAGTAGGTGTTTTTATTGAAAACCTAAAATTATACGAATGGAAATATCTGAATAACTTAGATCCGAACAGTCTTTTTTTCATGAGGGTCGAGTGTCTTTTTGCTAGTTTACTCATCATTTTTATGATTTTTTTCAGTTTTGAAGTGTGCAATAGGTCAAGCAAGCGTGACTACACCACACTGTTCTCTTTTCATAGTATAGGCATGCATTTTAACTTCCCCATTTTTATTGTTATACACTCTCACCACCTTACCGTATTATTTTCATATTTCCTCACTTTTTAGATTCCAACAACAATAATTTGAATTGCATAACGACATCTTATGATAGCAGAAAACAATGTTTTACTTCCCCTATACCATGTTCAACTCCTCAGCCATTATCCATTTGCTGCAATGTGTTGCCAAGTGAATGTGAACATGTTAAAAGTCAGTTGGTTTCGTGTAATGTTCTCTGTCCTAATGGTGATGTTATTGACGACAATAGTAATAATACTGGAGATGAAAAATACCAGCCAAAAACAACACTCAAATCGAATGTTTTCGAAATGGTTGGTTCCTTGTAATCATTTTTTATATCACCATTGTTTCTGTCTCGATGATTGTACATTAGTGAAATTCCTCGCTAAACAGGGCGGATTTTGTTTCATACATTTGTGGTCCATTCGATTAGGTGTTCCCTTTTCGTTCATAAACACCTGCCCGACTCAAGTTTTGGATCACCCACTTCGTTTTAGGCAACCACATAATATAAATGATTCCAAATAGTAAGTACGAATTACAGCTTGATCAGTGATCAAAATGAGAACTCTCGGAGACTATTCGTCTTGTATTCGCTGGATATAAGGAATTCAATTTAAATTCGCTCAGATTTTCACGCATGGTATTTGATATTGGCTTTTTCTTTCTACCATAAAATGTTACCAGCGTGCTGTAAATCGGTCGCCCAGTCTTTTGGCTGGAGATCAATGAGTGAAAGGTTGAGAATCGAAAAAATACCTTCAGAATCACGTTTATCGTAGGATTGAATAAAATTGTAGAGTTGACAACGTTAGTAAGAACTAATGACCATTATCACCACGGATGATAACTGCTAAGAAGCTCCCAGAAGCATGGGTAGTCTAATTAGTAGCCTCTACTAATGTAATAGTTACTCGGAAATTTCTTCATGCTACCTTTTTAAATACAAATAAGTCAGAATAACTTGCAGGTTATACGGGTGAAGGGATCATCTTTGAAGACCATTTGACTTATCAAGACTTAAATCTAATCAGTGTCAGGAAAATTCATGATGATCACAAAAATGTATTGTACTGACGCAGGTATGGGTATATACAGTGATGTCTGTCGTGACGTAAAAACTGATCAAACCCAAAATTCGACTATAAAACCATTCCAAAAGTTGTAAAAAATATTAATTAGTAAGGGATAAGCTGCATTTGTAAAAGTTTCCAGGTTTCAAGTCGGATCTCTAAAGGTATTATATGTGCATACATATGACGTCATAGGATAAGGTGAAATGATATTGATGTGCTAAACCATAATTTCCAATCAATTTTCAATGGACGTTGATTAATGATAGAATTCACTGCATAATTTATCAGAAATGTATAACATCACATATAAGTTGTTTAATTTCGTAGTGAAACGGCAGTTAAATTTCTAGTATTTTGTAAAAACTTAGTAGAAGTAGCGTATTTATATTTTCGTATCATTTCATGGTTTAATCTTGAGTTTTCTCAGATTCTTCAACTTCAGTCAAAATCACACAGTGAATTTGTAGTGTGTCAAGTGAATTCAACATATAATTTAGCCATCTTCATCAATAGAAGTGAACCACCTCATCATTTATTTGAATTTCATGATCAGATTTCTGTACCTAACCTTAGCATAGCTCATTCAATGATTCCACTTTATGATAAATGTTTCATTTTCTTAGTCTACTCAACTGAGGTGTATTTGGTGCACAGTTTTAATTTAAAATACTGATATATCAAATAGACAGTTATTTTCATATGTTTCCCAAACTATTAAATTTAGATGGAAATGCGTGGCGATAGGTATTTGACTTGGTTTTACCCTTCACGCAGTGTATGATAATCCTTGAAAATTTGACTTTTGTTATCTTTTTTTCAAGTTGTCAAACGCCCTTTCTCGCCGTCGTGATCTCATTGAGTCTGGCTGGGATTCTGATGAAGAAGATGAGGATGTAGGAGATCCTGATGGAGGTTATTCATATGACAGTCAAGTTGGAGAACAACAGAATGAAATACTGTTGTTATCCAAAACTGATGCAGTCAATCATTCGGATGTGATAAATGCTAGTTATGATTTAACGCCCGCTTCATCATTGAAAGAAAATTGTTGTTCAGAAAGTATCGTGGCTAGTAACAGTCGATTGCATGAGGATACGAATGATGGTTTTTCAACTGTTCGACGTCTGTCAGTGTCCAGTGCATCAAATAAAACTCGTGAAACATTAAGTGCTCGACCTATTTCGTCTAATAACGATATTTGGCCCCTTCCTCCCCCACCGTTTTGTGCAACTGATGGTGAGCATGGTGATATGTCTTCTAATCCTAACCGAAGATTACACTCTCCAGAAGATGAATATCATATAGGCATTAACACTGAGCGACTTATACGTGCGGTTCAAAACCATAGTTCTTTTTCTTCTCTGAGTGAATTCAGTCTGAGTTCTTCAAATTCAGAACCATCGAACTGCACATCTGTTTGCGCTTTACAGTCTAGTTTACCAATCAGTTCACCACAGATCCCACACTTACTCAGTTATTCTCAGGTGACTTTTCACTGTTTTGTAATGGTAATAATGTCATTTTCGAAAAAGTGCCATTTTTTGATCGTTGAAGATCACTTGGTCAACATTTTTGTACAGTTGTTATCCACCATAGATAAATGTCACACAAAACTCCAATAGTTCTATCTATCACAGCTTGCAACACCATAGGAAAAGAAAGTGATCCGAAATATATCGATATTAAAGCAGTTATAAAGCTAAGATAGGGGAGAAGGATAAACAAATGAATAAAGCCTAATTAAATATTTCAGTTTTGAGGGTGATAAGTCCTACAGGGATCAGTCATAACCTGATAAGCTTAGTGCTGAAGTCTAGCTTCAACACTGATTGGTGCAGGCTCGAATCATTGGGAGGAATATCAATTTACTCGTGGTTAGAGATACGCCTTACTGACTGATAGGTTCCAACAAGCAGAAAATTTAGGCTCTAAACACCTAGCCGACTGACCCCTAACATCTAACACCAAAATACAGTGCAACATAGAAAAGTGTCATTTAGCTTTGATGGTTGTATTAGAAAATTGATCGACAAGTGTCTGCTAGTGCTTAGCCGTATGGACTAGATAGCTCATTTGTGTAAGAATTTTTTCGTAGATTTGGTGAAGTCCAGCGCGAAAGTTTCATTTGTTGTATGGATACCTTTACTTTTTTCAAGTCATTGCATATTTTTGCACCAGGCAGTAAGTTAAATCTGCTATGGAAAAGTTAGTTGTATTATCTAACTGTCAGACATAACCGCTAAGAGAAAATATGAAGAAACTATAAGTTCTTGATCACCGGTGTCTTCATAGCGTTACTAGTGTTTAGTGGTCGATGTTAAGGTTAGGTAGATATGGAGTGCTAACTAAGTAAGGCTAGTCAGTCGGTGATAGACTTCTTTGTAAAGTTCTAATATTGATTCGTCCGTCTTCTGCTCAGTGCTCGCTGCATGAAGTGTGGTTTTGATCTGTGACCTGAGACTTCGTACAATGAGTCCCACATGAGAGCCCTATGTATGTTTCCTTAAAATTTATACTGATCAGACCTCAGTAGCTTATTTACTGCAGTGCTGTGTAGCTTACTTTAGATATTTAATTGTAGTCAGTTAGGTAGATTTTCTCGCATACTGTAAAAATTGAAGTTGTCACTTAAGTGACTATTTTACATTCATTGGTTGACGGAATTCAGTCAAATTTAATGCGCTCCTGTTATCATTTAGCGTTTAGTTCTCCGACATAATTCATAGCCAACAAATTCCCACACTGACAGCAATGCTGGACAACGTAAGTTGTGACCGATTGTCGATTATCAGGTATCAGCCTTACCTTGTCCTGGAAAGAAACACTAATATTAGCAAAGTCCAGGGGGGAAAAACCCTAATTTATGTCATGCTTCTGCTATCAAGTAACAGTTTTTCAGTTTCCTGCATTCAGTTTCAATCAATTACAAATATTTTACACATTATCATTATTATTATTAATTGTATTATTTTCATTTTCATCTCAGCCTAGTCTGGGAACACCACGTGAAGAAGCTACTGAACAACAGAATACACAGGATACTTTTCTAACTCATAGTATAGTTAGTAATGTTGTGCATCAACCGGGAACAGATATTCCATCCAATCCTTTACAGTTTCGTAAGCGTTTATAATTTGATACTTTCTTTCCTTGCAAAGGTGCAGCCGTTTATGTAAGGATTGACTATGTCTATGAATGGTGCAGAAGAAGTCAAAAAGCAATTAGACTCATATGCAAGCTATTGTAACCAGTTTACTGGTTACACCTACTTGCAAACACGAACCTGACAGAGATTTCGCCAGTAGACATGTTTTAAATGCCTTGTAATCTAGGTTATTTTCAGTTCTTTCCAATTATTACATTCTTTTGGTATGATAGATTATATGGGTTTAGGTTGTAGACTTACAGTTAAAAAGCTGTTCCATTTGATTGTCGTTAAAAACAAACGTCTGTTATCACTTATAAAATAATCTCATTATTTACGAACAAATTTGGTGCTGGCTGTTTTAGCAAATATTTGGAATGACTTTTAATACGTCAACGTGTCTGTATCACTTCGTTTTACCTGGAGTAGTTGATCTATATCACTCAACTTCTAGCACCATTTGAAGAAGAAGTCGACTATGTAGGACACAGAATGATGCAAACTTTATTTGTTTTTAGCGATGAATTTCAGTGGAGTAAGAACAACAAATGAAACAGAACAACACTAGTTCGTTTCGTAGACTCTTCTCAGCTGCTTACAACTTGAAAAATACTGAAATGTCAAATCACGATAAATTCAAATACTTTTATCAAATCGATAAGAAATTATCTTGAGTGGTCCATAAATATGATAAGGGCTCCGCCCCCCCCTCCCAACGAAAGTCCGAGTACTTTTACAAGATTGATAAAATTATTGTGTTTGCTGTTCACTCTTGCTACTGAACGGTTGAAAGTAGTCGATGAGATCATGCATTTGGTTAGTTGTGTAAGTGCTGGTGGTGTGGCAGACAACTTATAGTCGTAAATCGAAAGTCGGATGTGCATACGCTTTTGACGCTGTCGCAACATTAGCCTGTCTATTAAAGATCGGGTGTACAATGTGTCAGTGCGAGTTGTTTTGATTTACACCTGTAGAATCTAACTTCTTGGAACTGACGGAAACTGATGGCTTTGCATTCGATCACCGTAATCGCTGAAGAATCGCTCGTATCAGATATGATCGTAATGTAAGTAATTCAGAAGTGGAGAGGCGTGTTTGGGCGTGATGGAGATCGTCAGTTATTGAGTAATTTCATTTTGAAAGACTGACTTAAATGGGTTGGGTGTGTGTTAGGAATATCATCCTAGAGACCCAAATAAAGTCCATCTCTGTGACTGACTGGAAGGAGCGGAGATGTAGCAAGGTTGTGTTGGGTTGTCATCTCTTGATGCTTTATGATTTCCTGCGTAAGAAAGATTATGCAGTTCAGTTATTTGAGAAGATATTGTATAGGCCTCAGAATCGGAATCAGTGGTGATCATGTTCCAGTTTTTCAGTGTCCTCTATTAATGAAAAGTCATACAAATACTGTGAAAAGTTTTCTGGACCTATCTTATTGAACCAACTACCTGTTCACTCATCTGTTTCTCTTTTTTTCATTTCCACTTCATAGGGTTTTTATATTACGTGCCATGGTTTATTTCTTGGTGCCTACTTAGTATCGACTTTGCGTTTAACTGATAATAACAATAATATCTAATAGACTTCAGATTATTTATGTTGTATAACAACTAAAGATAATACTAATCTGCTTGAATTTTGTACCTGTGATCTAATGAACGAGAGTCATATTTCTAGATAACAACCAGCTTGATTGTACTGGTTTTTCTCCACATTTTGCTTCAAATAACATGGATATATACTGTACAACTAAACAAGTTTGCGATAGATATAGAGGCAAATAATTAAAGTTCTTATGCATCGCTTGAAATTGTAACGTATCACAAAACACAAACAACAGATATCTTTTTGGAAAAATGAGATAATAAGAATGACGATCATATTCATAACAAAAAAAGCATTGTAGACTCTTACAAAAGTGCATGGATTGAAGTTGCTACATAGTGTAAAACAGCACAAAAAAGAAAACAGAAGTAAAATGCCAAACAATTGAGAGAATACTTATCTTTGTGGAAATCTTACCAAGCCCAACTATTAAATGCCGTACTTTGATTGAGAATATGTGAATGTGTCAAGTGGTTACCAAATTTTGGGATTATACTCTAATTTTGGCATTAAAAACAGCGTAACGAAATGGTTTACAAGAGTTGGATAAATGAATATAAAAATGTTTAAAATTTATAATTAAAATAAAGATAAGAAATAAACCTAGGGGATTAAAAATCTTAGGAGTTGCACGTAACTCAAAGCGAATACAGTCGTATCACTTTGATTTGCCTACAGCTGTTGCTTAGGCTCTTCAGCGACTGATTCCTGCCATCGTAAGGGTTATATGTAGCAAGTTTTCACTTCTCTTCCAGACTTAAACCGACTGCTGTCAACTATACGATTTGTTACTGTATCCTATAACAAAGTTCGTTGTTTGATTCTGCTATAGCATTTCTTCCTTCAAACGAAATTCGTGCTAAATGGAGAATAATTTTTTTGTGTGAACAGGAATCGAAATGAAATTACTCCTTTTCTTTTCTGACAACAGACGAAATATGAGCTATTGGTAATATAAGTGCTCAGTATCTTATCAAGCAACGATGACCATTTGTAGGTCTTTAGATGCACCATTGCACTTTAACCAAACACAACTTGCATTAATCAATGTTTCCTTTGCTTAAGAGTAATGCTGTGAAAATGTCTTTGGAAGATTAGCTGTTACCTCTGTTATATAACTTAAAACAGATCAGATTGTTGAACAGTAGACAGACACTTCGGTATACAGATAGCAAGCAGGTTTTCATCGCTATTTAATCAAGCTATTAGATACCAAGTAGTATTTTAGCATTTGTGGGGAAATTATAATGCACTCCAACTTATCAGACCCATGATTTCTTATTTTATTGACTAACTAATTTTTTTTTTTACAAAACCCATTAATTTTGTCAGAAAGCATCTATTTTAAAATATGCTCTCTTGATTATCTACCGCATATTCTGGCAGATGGATTTTGATATCGAAGTCTGTTATAGACTACCGATTCGTAATTTGTCGGGTTGAACCTCACCCAAGCTAGATTTTCATTTCAGCTTTGTTTTCGTATAAGTTTTCTAAGAATGGCTATTCTAGACAATAATGTTGAATATTTCAACTCAGCAGCCACATGCAAATTGATGTACTATGTCTGCTTTTGTAGGCTGATTATACTCCATATAATGGTAGATGAAGCAGAGTCTTATCAAAAGTCGAATGCCTAGGCGGATAAGCCACAGGTGTTAGTTAACCGAACTACAACCCTTAAAGTTATCATTTGTGGAATTTAAGTCAATTTTGTTTGGCATGAGAATGCTTGGCCAAACCAATCCTAAGATGGATATCATCAAAGGGACAGCCTGACCTCATAGTTGTGTTCAGAAAAGTACCAAAGTATTGATTTAGAAATCTGAAGATTACGTTTTATTACTATTTTAGTCATCATTTTCACAGTAAATCCCGTTTTGACACTTATTACTACCTCAAGTACCCTAATCAGTAGTAGCAGATTTATCTAATTGTAGATTTTGGTGTTTTTCCCAGTATGTGCAACTTACTGTGGTACTGATTTTCAGGCTAGTGTGTTACTTTGAAAGTCCTTACTTAAAGTTTTGCAGAACCTGATTACTTTATATATATATATATATATATATATATATATATATATATATATATATATATATATATATATATATATAACATTAATACATTAATTACTTTTTACCTTTTATTTAGATTCTCCCCATGTTGTAAGTAATGCTAACTCAGCAAAGTCTTTAATTATGCCAAGTCGTCCTGCTAGTCTATCTTGTTCTCGGTCAACAACACGCTTAGGCGCAGTATTTCAAAGTACCTTAACTGTACCGACCATAGTTGAGGAGGAAGAAGAATATTCAATCGATTCTGAAAGATTTTTAAATGTTTGCGGAAGTAAAACAGAACATCAATGTGTTGATGGTTTGTTACACTCTACAGATACACAGCCATTACTTAATGATACTCCGGATATCAATGATACAGTAGAAGAAGACTATCCACTCTTACGAAAGGATTATATTTTAGAGTAATTTTCAATTATTTACATAATTTTTTCCTGTTGAACAAATGTTAAACACCTGGTTAACATGATTTTTTATAATACACCATTTTAGAGTAAAATCTAATTTAATATGATGTCTAGACAAACACGTAGTCAAACATTTATATATGGCCAAAGGTTCATATCATACTTCCCTCACATACTTCTGCTCGGCTAGCTGGCTGGTTTTGTTTACTATTACATTTATAAGTTTAATTGGAGTATAAACCTGTAAGTGGTCAAGGAACTATACTATTGAAATTCCCTTAGATGTTGCTTCAGCTAACGTAATGTATATATGCTTGCTTAACACTCACCTGCGTAGGATCTTATTTTGACTGACGTAACTAGTTTGAAACAATTATCATCTATGGAAATAGTAATCATAGTTGGATCTTTAGTGCTAATAGAATTCAAGAATATGAAACATTATATTTGTTAATCTCAGTCAGTCCGTTTTTCAAATATAGTCCTACAAAAGCTCAAGCAGCACTCTGAATAGTCCAGTGTTGACGTCTCTGATTGCTGTACTGAATGGTGCAAATTTGAATTTCCGAGGTAGTATCAGTTATCACGAGTTTCCCTAAATAGACAAGCTGCGACATTTCATAGAGAAAGTGACCTGGATTTTCCCTAGAGCTTCAGTGTCTAAACCAATGAGGTCAGTTATTTATCATATGTATCTTAAAAAGACACATTTAAATTTGTAGCTTGTCGAGGACTTGTAAATTCGTCTGATCATCCTCAAACGCATTGTTTGGCCCCGATTTACGTACTTCAGTGTCACTTTAGATCAGAACACTGTCTTGTTTTCTTAGGGTAATAATAATTGGTTCTGTATGCAATAATAACTAATGATTAGCATGATTTGCGAACCCATTTGAGGTTGTACAACAGCAAAATGTCCAAGCTATAGTCGACAATAGGTGAAAATAACGGTTTCATCGCTACAATCTGTCAACTAATCGGATAACCGCAATTGTTTAAACAACAACAAACAGCCAATCAGAAGAAAACAGGGAAAAAGTATTAAAAATTTAAGTTACTTATGAGTAGTTGAATCAATAACATTAAATCAGTATTACACACGTTTCGCAGACAACCAGTGTACGAGTAATTGGACCAAGTAAGATTCGGCCAAAAGCTTAACCGTGTTAATTCCCTTCATACGTCTCCACGGGCAAACAGAGAGTTTTTTTGAGATGAATGGGGATTTTTAATTTAGAAGTAGTACTCATCATAGACTGACATCAGTTGGGGAACCATTGAAAATCTGGCTGAATGGTTAACGCGTTCGCCGTGAAACCTGAAGGTCCTGAGTTCGACCCCTAGCCGGGTCGTGGGTGCGTACTGCTGAGGAGTCCCATACTAGGACGAGAGAGTTTTTTGTTTGGCCAACTATAGTTAATTGTCGACTCTACTTCAATGTTATTGGAGAATAGTTGTTCTCATTCTTGACTTTGATTATTTTGTAGGTTAAAGTTTTCCATTGCAATTTTGAGTTACTTAACTCGCCGTAATTGGTCATGAATAAGCTGTGTATAACAATTTATCTGAGTGGTTTGACGAATATCCAACGTTAGTTTATATTATTCGATATGACGCAAAGTGATTCAGTATTGCTTACGTTTACCTAGGGTTGGATTGAATTGGATTGGAGTATGCTTATCAACCTTGTGCATATTCGTGCAGTAGGCAAAGAACCATATATATTGTGTAAGGGCTAGTGTTACTACCTGGCTACCCAAATCTCGGATGGCGTAGCAGGGCTCGAACCCGTAACCCATATGTTGAAAGTCATCTCCCTAAACTAATGAACCACAGCTCGACACCATTACCATCTCCTTATTCATCGAATCTCCACATAATACATACAACAAGCATGATCCCATCCATCCATTTAAATCAAAATAGGACCAGGCGTTACTGCGTAATGGTTCGAGTTGCCACAGCTTATGTCATTACATCAAGTAAAAAGGCAGTGAAGTGGAAGGTGAAGAAAAGAAAATTCAGTCAAAGGAAATATAAAGCACTAAAGGAGAGAAAGGAAAAATAACAAAATGATGAGATTCGGTATAGCGTCGTTAAGATGAGGATAGTGTGTGTATACATCTACGCCACTGACATCAGTTCTGAGCCATATCACCTAGATTCAGTCTCCAACCACTTGTTCCTCTTGTCCCGCGGACCCCAGCCATCTAGTCTGCATCGCCTCACATGGCTCACACCAACAGCCAGAGACTTCATACATTGGTGCCATGTTTTAGTCTGGCCGCCTCAGGCTTTTTTCCAGCGTGGACCTACTTCGGCCAACATTGTGTGACGGGGCGATCGGCGACTAGGCATACGTAATACGTGTCCCAACCATCTCAGTCGACGAAGGTTCACAACTATGTCAACTGACTTACCTCTTCCTCCTGAAACTCTACACTTGACTTGTGCGTCACTCACGTGGTGACACCACGGAATAGGGCGGCCTATACTACGAAGACAACGAACATGACTCATTACCTATTGTGATTAGCATCATTAGCATCACTGTAGAAGTATACAAGTTGAATTCGATTTTTATGTGATTGACTTCATATACAATTGTGACCAATAAATTGTTTTCAAAACACTATCCAGTAAATAATACTGTACCACTGTGTACTATATCAAACAAACAAATTAAGTATGAATTTATGTTCTAACATAGTTCCAAAGTTTTCATAAGAACACATTTTCTGAAAAGAGCTGCACCAAGTTATACGATTGTAATTTTGAATTCTGATCTATTTTATGTTTTTGAAGGAAAGATCAAAAAATATCCGACAAGCACTTCGATGCATTGCATGTAAATACAACTGGTGAATATAGCATCAACTCTAGTAAAGTTTACTTGTCCGATTTCCAAGTACATGCTGATGATAATCCAGTCATAACCCATCGTACCAGTCGTGGTCTACCGAAACCAGATGTTCTTCGTTGGCTTGAGGATACTCGGGATGCTACTGTGAATTGTAAAGTTAATAATAACTCAAATTTATCTCATCTGTCATCATCATTATCATCGAATCATTCTGATTTCATCTTAGATGACCAACAAAAACGAGAAGAATCAAAACAACAGAAACACAGCAAATCTGAAGAAGTATCTTTCACCGTCGTTGAAACTCCTCCTCCTATAGATAAATCTCAGGAGTCTCTAGACAGTAAAGATACTGTAATAATCCGTCTGGTCAATACAAAACGTGGTGAAAATTTAGGCATTCAAATTAAACCTGTCTTCTCTGAAGTTATGGATTTGAATAATAGTGATAGTTATTCTGATGAAAATACCGGATCAAGAATGTAAGTATACATTTTTGTGTACAATACTCATTGTTACAGCGCCCAGAAGAAGCACAGGGTGCTGGATTACTCTAATATACTTACGTGTTATGTTAGCTTGAGTAGAAGTAGCGTTTAGCTGGGAAAGGTACTTGAGCTACTTTTTATGAAGTTTAGTGCATAAGCATAGGAAAGCAGTCTAATACATATGATTACATTACTGTCTAGTTTGAGTTAGACTCTACCAAGGAGCTACTTATACGTCAGAAAACACATATTGAACACTGATTGTGGGCTTCAGGTGTGGTGATTTAAGCTAACTACTGCTGGTATGAAGTAGTACTATATGAACAAAACTGGTTCGTTTATTCCCCTAAATCCTAATCATCTAGCTGTCATCATACAACATGGAGCTTAGCATAGTTATATATCCGTTCAATTTGAATCACTTCATGCCAACATAATAGCAAAAAGCAAGCACAAAGGGATCAAAATATTGATGGCAGAGGTTATAAAAATGCTAACAGAGAAAAGAAGGGAAAAAGGAATACAATAAAATATCCAAGATTTAGGAGGCGAAACATAGTGACTGAAATTTGAGTTATGTACACTTATCTCCAGCCATCGGCCCCACTTGTCTTGTTGGTCCTAACCATGAGGCCTACAGTTCCTTACACGAATTGGACCAACAGTCAGAAATTTCGTGAACTAGTTTCGTCTGAACACTTTTGGACTTTTGCTATTCTGTGCTTACTGTCGCTAACTCATCAAACTCAGATGATTTAGAACTACTTGTCCGTAATACTTTACACAATCATTGAGACTTTAGTACCTCATCAACTGAATTACTACCCTACACAATAGTGTATGCACTACATCTTTGCATCACTCATTCAATGATTGAAGTCAACTTTACGCGCTCAGAGACACAGTGAACTGAACATCTCCCGTTGATTGATAGGATTTTAGCCATGTTTATCTATGCATAGCTATCCTTTTTGTTTCTAAAGTGTGCGTGTTTCGAATCACCACTAGTAGTACTACTATTTTGTTATTACTACTGTTATTGTGACTATATCTTTTTTTGAATTACCAATCGGTGTTTTACAAAAAGTTGCCTTTCCAGCCAAAGTAAGCAAACCCGATTGATTATTTCAATAGCTACCAGGGTGGTCTTTAAAATTACTCTTTCTATTGCCAATTTTAAGTTCGAACTGTACAGGTGTTATTATTACGAATATGTTTTAGTTAGCATTTTCCGATTATCTGTTAGTGCAAGCTGCTTAGTATTATTTGTAAAGCAAAAAGGCAAGCATGAATTCGTTGAGATGTAAACTAATGAATAGGATATCATAAGGTGAAACAATTTATTGTCTGACTTATCCCAATATAACTGATGAAAAAAGTCAAGTCTTTCTCCAAATGATCATGTGCTGGCGTTAATTGTGTGAGAATAAGGCAATAGAAAGATAAGAGTACCTAAATGATCGTTGTCAACTTGGGCTATGTAGTTTTCAACTTTCTGCTTGAATTTGATCTATCCTCAGTCCACTTGGTCAACTTACGCTTACTTGGTTTGAACAATTCTCATCTTTGGGTAAAATTGAGCAATACTTTAAATAAGAGCACTGTCTACTGGTTGCGTTACTTTAATCTGGTTATCACAAGTATAGGTGATTGCAGTGCATTTTGTTAAAACATACCTATATTAGCGTGTACTATGCCTTATATGAGATCGAAATAACCTAGATAAAATAGCCTATCTACTGCATAACTTTATTTAGTGATTTTTTATCCCTCATCAGTGCAGAATATTTGTTACTCAGGTGTATGATATTTGTATTGCTATGGTCTCTGAGCTAGATAGTTTAGTCGTGAAACTTTCATTGTCCCTCTTGACAGCTTCATCGGGACTAAATCCAGACATAGAGATTAAATCAACGTAGAAAGTCACACAAAAGTGTATTTGTTCAAGTTAGCACAATCCACAGAAGCATGAAACGAAGAAGTGGATAGAAAAAGAGTTAGCTTAAAGCAAACAAAAGTGTTATAGGAGGAGAGAGGATTTGAAAATCGAGGTTAGTGAAAATGTTTAAACTTTAGAAGACATTAACGAGTGGATAAATCTGTGCCATCGTTATCAATTTTCATCTGTTTCACCAGAATCCCCAACCAGTGATTCCTATGTTCTCGGGCACCCCATTCAGGTTATCCATATTTCCCAATACGACCGAGACTAACAGCCAGGAGCTTTATATCGACTGGCGCCACGTCTTGGTGTCGCCACCATGAACCCTCTTCCAACCTAATCCAACTTCCCCTAGCACGGCACGTCAAGGTAGGGATTGACTGGGCATGCTCAACACTGTCCAAGTTACCTCAATCACTGAAGGTTTACAACTTCATTGACCAAATTTCCTTCCTTGCTTGGTATCCTTCGCCTAACTTGTATGTTGCTCACATTTGATTCCACCATAACTGAGCAATGCTAAGAAGACACCTATTGTCAAAACTTGTAGTCTCTTCATATCTTCTACTTTTAACTGCCATATCTCACAGCCGTATAACAGGAGAGAACGAACTGCATTGGAGTATGCTCATTCTTTAGTAGGTGGTCGGATATTTCACCAGTTGGTTCCAGAGATGACGCAAGTTGATAAATCCCGAACGAGCCTTCTGTATCCTAGCTGAGATTTCATCAGCAACCAACTCGCTCGAGCGGACTCAACTCCCTAAGTAAGTGGTGGTGGACAAATCCCATTACTTCCTTCCCTATCGTTGAGCTGGGAGTAATTGCGGACCAGTCCTAAAGCCATCATCTTACATTGGACAGGTGTGAAACGCAGGTAAAAAATACTCAGATTTCTGATCAAGATATGCAGAAGACTCTGGGTTTTATCAACATGTCTTCATCTAGCAGAAAAATACCGTCTGCATACTCCAGGTGAAGCAAGTGGCCTCCAGGGAGTAGAGCAATTTATGTGAAGTCAAGTGTTCCTGAGTTTATGCCCATTTATATATCTATTACGAAGTTGAATAGAAACGGTAACAGCAAGCACCTCTGGCGGATACAAACAGTTGTCATCAATTCAGATGACATCTCCTCATATGCCCTTACATGGCTGCATGGGCTCGAGTAGAGAGGTTTGATTACCGTTTAGTATTTGACCGATGCTCCTTTCACAGTTAGACACTCCAATAACACCTCGTGATCGACAGAGTCGGATGCTCTATTCAGGTCGAGAAATACTGCTGATGTTGGCCACATGTGAGTATGCCTGTGTTCTCTGGAACCTGTCGGAGAGTGAGAATCTGATCGATGCACCCTCGTTCAAGTTTGGTACCCACCTCACTTCCTTGACTTTGTTACTCTCGAGCTCCGGTTAGGCGTCCGACTACTGTGGACTCGAGAATCTTGAACTGGATTTTAATTAAGCGGATTCCCCTAGGGTTGTTACATGGGGACTTCTCTCCCTGGGAGGATGAGTGAATTAGACCAGTTTGGTGCGACCATTTCTGATTACCATACATCACTTAGGTACCCCCTTCGATTTAACTGGTAATTTCCTACCCCCTATCTAAATAACTTCAGGTAGTAAACCGTGATGTCCTTCAGCTTTGCATTGTTTCAGGTTCGAAACAACCGCATCAAATTCGAGGACAGTTGAAGGGCGTACATCTATGTCTCATTCACCTTCAGGCTGGATGTTGAGAAACTGAAGTGTTCTAGCCGTTTGTCATGAGAGGTTATCAGAGTCCCATGTGTTTTGATGATGTGCTTGCTGACCATCTTCTTCTTGCCGGTATCCTTAACAAGCCTAAATAATTGCCTAGTGTTACCCAACGCTAATGCCTTCTACATCTTTTTCGCTTTCTCCACCCACTAGTGTTCACTATCATTGCGGGGATTCTAAGTCAATTTACATTTGAGCTGCTTTTGCTCCTCATTGTGGTCAGAGCTAGCTGGAATAAGTCTTGTCACATCAGTTGGTTTGGATGACGTTGTGACATTTCACTGACGTTTGTTAACCTTTGTATGTAAGTTACTGTGTTTACCACTGTTTCTATAGCAAACTGAATACCACGCCAGGTTTCATCAAGACAAGCATCGTTGTTACATCCAGATATCCTCTCAACATACGTACTTGGTGTTCTCACCTTCCAATCAAACTCAGGCTTAACTGTAGCCTGTTTTCTGCGACCAGTAAGGCACAGTCATACACGAACCTGTACTTGCGCCTGATCGGAGTCCAAACAGGTACTATAGAAAGAGTGAGTCCTACACTGGTCCTCTCCAACAGTGTCTTATATAGATATGATCTGTTTATGTTCATCATTGGTTTTATGCCGGCGGACGCGACATGAGTCAGTGCCTCTCTTTATACTTAAAGTTAGGTCTGGACAGAAATAAGTGATTGTCAGAACAAAATTGCAGCAGACAATTACCGCTGTCGGTTCGTTGTCATGAGATTCCGTAGATACTTCTTAGATACCTTTCCGATTGACTCATCTTTCTTACTTGAGCGTTGAAGTCATCTGCTATTACGACTATAACTGAATGTTTTGATTTCTATAGCAAGGTTGACAGCTTTTCATAGGATTCATCTTCTGTATTATCCGAACTGTAGTCATTAGGCGCTTAGGTGGCGATTATGAACAGACATAAACAGGTCTCGCGATCCGTTCCATCCTTTATGGATCTAGCTGATAAAGTCTTTAACTGTCGGTCTGAGCCATATAGGGAGGTGTATGTTACCTGATTGTGAACCTCGAGAAAATAGGACTCTGGTTGGGGACTGTTGGTGAAATGGCTAAAAGTTGGATGAAACGGCACAGAATTATTCACCGGTTGACGTCTTCTAAAGTTTAAACATTTTCACTGACCTCACTTTTCAGGTTCTCTTTCCTCCTATACACTTTTGTTTGCTTTAATATTACCGTTTTCTCTATTTACTTTCTTTGCATGCTTCTGTGAAGTGTGACAAGTTGAACTTCTGCACTTGTGTGTGGGGTTCTACGTCGGTTTTCTCTGTCTGTATGTACATTTCGCCGCCACATCTGAAGCCTCGGAAATTAACAAACAGAATGTCCTACCATAAGTAAGGCATATCATAGATCACTTCAAGACTCTTAAGACCACTTGTGATTGGTGTAGTTAGTATACCTATAAACTGTCACCAGGTCACATTATGCCGGTTAATTGACACAACAGTTGAAGAAGGCGGTAAATATAAGCTGCAAGGTCAATTCCAATAAGTGAGATATACATTGCATTAGAAAAAGAGTCAGCGTCTCTGTTTTCGTTGACACTAAAATCAGTTGACAATTAAATAGCACGACATCTGATCCTGTGTATCACGTACACATCTTTGATTATTAAATTGTTGAGATTTTCGTCGGGGGCAACACAAAGGTTAGCAGGTAGTTTCTAGAATCTTGGCACTTGCATCAGTCAGCAATCAATGAGTATGTAGACATTGAACCAGTCTATTAGCCAGTAAGAAAAGTGCTAACAACTCCAAGGTTGGAGATCATGCAAAGGAAATTCCGTACAGTCAGTCACCGGTATTACAACCAAAGGAGACTATTAATCACGTTTCACGTCATCAGGACAGGCTGCTGAGTCATTCACAGAGAAATCCTAGTGACTCATTTCATATTTGAGTTAGTGCCGATAGTGTTGTTAAGACAGACAATGAAAGCTGTACTATTAGGGCATCCAGTTCCTTGAATACCTAAATACGAAGGTCTGTGATTAATCAGACAGACGTTTAACATTTAAATTTGCCAGTGAGTCATGTCCACATGTCGAATCCACTTCAAATCATAAGGTAACTAAATGAATCAGTCTAATCTTTTAGGTTCTTCCTATTCAAGTGACAGTGGTAAGTTTTAGACATTGTGTAAATACAAAATTACTGTTACAAGTTTTTCCCTGAAGCACAAGTTATAGTTATTACGAGATTTAGAAATAAGTTCGTAGTTCGATTTAAGAACTGCTCACTTTATGTGTATATTTTTTCCATATTCAAGGGAATGTGGTCTTGAAGTCCATAGTATTATACCGCATGGGCGTGTAGACCGTGAACAATGCCTGTCTGTTGGAGATCGCATTTTAAGCATCAATGGAATTTCGTTGAGTGGAATACCGTTTGAAAAGTTAGTATTTGTTTCATAAACTGTTAATCATAATTCTTTCATCTTTGAATGTAATGATACCAATTCAGTCTTTGTCAGATAACAAAATTTCGTATCTTTTCTGATGAGTTAAATTTTGCAACTGTTACTTCTTGTGTATGACTGCAGACATACTTCATTAACTTGCGGAATACGTCTTGACATAGAACAGAGAAGTACTGTTACTCTCTGCAAGCATATTTCTCTTTGGTCTTGTTCTATTCTGATTCATAAAGCCGTAGATCTTCACCTTGATTTACTTATTTCTGTTTGTGTGATGGGATAATATTGTTTTTATTTTGATACTTGTTACTTCCCGTTGGTATACAGGGCCGAATCGGCTCGATCTATATTTGCAGATGGGGTCCTATGCGGATGCCTCGATACTGCTGGATATTCATTATGTTATATTCATTTTGATGACTAATAGTGGAATCTAGGACGAGCTTTTCGTCCTGTATGGGACTCGTCCGCTGGATGCACCTAGTGTTATCCTGCATACAAGAAATATGAATAAACACCTCTTGTGTTTCAGTAAATAATAGGCCTATTCGCCACCCTCGTATTCACAAAAGCCTCCCCTAACTAATGCAGTTACTTGCAAGGAATGACGCATCAGCTTCTCAAGCAAACTAATCTTACTAGTGGCTTCCACGTAGGTTACCTTGGTTCCATTTCTTACAAATACCGCAAGTCCTTTTGGTTATCGACCCAAATTATATTTGGGTAAGATGGGGTATTAAAGAGAAGGAATTGGAAGCTTCTTTTTGTGTAACCTCATAACTAATGGTCTCACAAAATAACTTCTTAGTTTTGTCATCTTGACTTCTTCAAGTCTTTATCACAAATATACTGGCTTCTCGATTGTTTTATACACATTCACTGTGTCAAAGCATCTGTTTCAGTTACTGATACGATTGTGTACAAAACTCAACTGTACTACAAGATATACCAAGTGATTTATAAACGGACGTAGTGTATGCCTTACATGTTAGCTAAAATCCATAAACTCTACTGTTGCCTTAAAAAACTCCCTCCAATAGCTTGGTATTCTCTGAGTTTTTGTAATTGATCTTGGCAGTTTCATCACCGAGCTAGTCATCTTCATCTTGAGCTTCAAATCTCCATTATCGCCTAGTGTCACTCGGCAAAATAGTTGAATCGATAACTAAGTATCTTAATTGACCAAGATATTGCTACTGGAACTAGTGTGTTAAAAAATATATTTATACATTTTATTTATTAAACTCTTGTTCATTATCATGTTTTGGAGTAATCTAAGTATTTTGATAAGTGTATTTGAGTTGTGATTCATCAATCGCTTTTACGTAACCTGTGATGGCTGTTGATTATTCCCAGTTTCTGTTATTATTTTCCTGAAATATGAACTAATACTTCCAGAAATTAGATTACTTTGGTTACCATTTTGGGATTTTCAATTGCCGTATGAAATCGTAGTTTTAACTCCAGAGGTTTATTTCCAAGGTTGCTTCGGTAATGCTAATAAGTGCACTTGCATTTCGGCTTGTTTATCATAAATTTTAATGTTGGCGAATTGATTATAACTTTTTTTCTCTCTTGTTCAATTTTTTTTGGTAACTGGGTTAGTGGATTGTTAGGAACAAGCGGCTTTTTGATGGTCTTCTGTTCTCTGAGTAAGATGGTTTAATCGTGAAACTTTTATTATCATTCTGGACAACATCATCAGCGCACACTTTATTTCCTTCAGGTTTCAGTGTTATTGTTAATCATTGAATTCTGTATTTTACCACTGTGGTCTAAATTTGGATCATGTGAATGAAGTAATATACAAATTACCCAGATTGCACCTAACTAGTTGGTCATCAGTGTACTGTTTAGATTCGATTAAAAGATGACCTAATTAATACTGGGATTAAGTGTTTATGTACTTCTAGATGATGGATAATAATAGGTTCACATCAGAATATCAGTTTATGTTGTTTGTTTGTGTTATACGTGTATGACTCCCGTAGCTTCTTCATGAAATACTTTTTTCTGGTATCCAAACAGTCTGATGAAGATGTGGAAGGACCAACATAAGGTCGAGAAATGTTTATATCTGCTGGTGCATCAGTACTGTTTGAACGTTGTCCTCAAAGTCACGCAGCTTACTACATCGAGATGCTTTCAGATACGGACCAGTGTAGAAACAAACGAGCTATTATGTTTCTATGGTGATCTCGATCTTTTACACAAGAGGTATCAATAACTTCCTCAAACTTATTCCTGATGACTACCCTACTTCTCCGTCTTACAATCTTCATTATATCTAAAAGTTGTTTGATTTTTATACCGGGAACTCTTGAGGCTCGGTACAGAATGCCATATAACTTAGTACTTATTGATTTCATACCTGAGTTGCAACGGTGTTATTGATGTGGCAGTTCCGCCGAAGATGCTGTAAAACCCAAAAAACTAATAAAGTCTCAGTTTGACTTTTCAGAGTTTTATTCAGGTTCAATAATCTTTCTAACGCCAAATAAGGCAGATAGTTTCGATAATAGTGTGGTATGCGTTTAAATACTCGGAGATAATCATATTTGCACCATTGTGATACTTTTTGAAGGTTATTGATCACTCTGTTCATTAGTGATCTACACACTCTCGAAAACTTGAGAAGGGATTTCTTCGATTGGTGGGCTTTATCAAGGAAAAAGACTGCCGAGTATTGCTACACATGTGCGTGGTTACATAATCATTTGATATATATAACATCCCATAAGACGATACTGGTCAAGTTTGTGATTCATTACAGTAAACACAACTGCCAATCAGTGGAACAATCATAAATTTAATTCCATTCCATAAAATCTATCGGATATGTATGAGGTTATTGCACTAAACTTATATTTTTATGTTCAGAAGAGTTGTCGAATGCGTCAATATGAAGAGTACTCTGTTCTTGAGTAAATTACTATTCCATTGAGTCGCTCACTGAAGAGAAGGAAAGATGAGTATTAGCGTTCCTCTATTAGACCGTACCTGGTACCTTTGATAATCTGCAAACTACACTTATATATATATATATATATATATATATATATATATATATATATATATATATATATATATATATATATAACTTAGGAAGAAATGGGTGAGGTTTTCAATGCTTCTCCAATTGATATCGTTAGGTTGGGGAATACTACTCAAAAGTAGCCAAATAAATACCGAATACTTGAGTAAACCGCTTGGATATACTGCATGACCAACAATTCTGGCCGGTATAACATGTACCTATAACTTATGAGTAATGAAAATAAAGTTTATTTATGTGACCATAAAATATTATCGGACAGCTAATTTGAGAAATCATCTTTGATTCAATTAAAGTGATCCATTGAAATTTAACTACCATGGTTCCTTCTTTCTTTAACAAGTCTCAATCCAGATAACATTTTCAGATTATATTACATTGTAAGTGTATTTCCTTCCAGAGGTCGTGATATATTTCAAGCAGCATTGAATGAACCGGAGATACTACTGCGTGTACTCCCGCTTTCTGCTTACCAGCATAGTCCTCCAGTTTCTGTACAAAGCACAGATAATACACAGAATACAGAGAAATCAGATAAACCATCTTGTGGATTGATTGTCGTAGTCTCTGACCTTACTTCTAAAGGTAAAGAAAGTGAAGCAAAATGTAATATCAGTCAGTTGAAACCTGTCCCACCGCCACCACCTCGTCGTTCACCCAATACTGTATTGACTCGTATACCAGAAGGTATTATTAAACCGTTGATAGATGAGTTTTTACAAGAGAAGAAACAACGAGAAGAGGAAGAAGAACGTCAGCAGACTCAATTGAAGAATGCTCAACCGCCAAGTTATGATGATAGTCATAGATCAACACAATCTATCAACCGTTCACAAAGTGATAACCATCTTCAGTTCACTTGTCATACGATCCGACTATGCAAAGGTAATCCAACTTTTTTAAACGAAGAAATTTCAATATTGTTCATTACCTGTGTATACGTGACGTTTTTACACAAGAATCCGTTTGAATTTCAATAAACGAAGAAAATGTAATTTGTCTAAAATGTTTTAGATAAATTATTAGCGTTATTATTTTTGTGCTTTGAATTAACGCTTAACACATGCAACGGAAATAATTTATTACACAATGCAGATATTTAGAAAATTTTACTACTAATAGCAAGAAAGGAATAAAAAGTTTTTAGACTACAAAAAAGGAGTTTGAAAGTTGTGTGATTACTTGGATGTGACCATGAGCAGTAAATTGTGATCGAAACGCCATCTAGTAAATAATACTGTACCACTGAGCTCTATAAGATAGACTAACCTAGTATGGAATCATACTCTATCACAGTTCCCCACTTTCACTGTGGAGTCAATCAATTATTATCGTTATTGTTGCATCTTCTAATTAGTACTGAAGATTCCTCTTATTTTCTATGTGTTACACCTGTGTTTTTCATCTATTATTGCATTTATAAAAACTTTACTGAAGACGCATAACTGATGTTCTAAATATCCTTGAAGCACAGTAAGACTACATACATGCAACTCTTGCTCTGACCTTCACTTATTTAAGAAGTTCAATCAGTTGATTATTGACAAGGCCCCAGACTAGATACAGAAAGTTTTTTTTAACATTCATCAACTCATACCATCTTTATCACTGACACTATGTCTGAAGATCTATCAAATCATGAGTATACTATGCAGCAGTCCACCGTTTACTACTCTTATACCTGTTAAATATGACCCTCGCAGGCTGAACATATTAAGACACTCCTGGTTTTCGACCATCAGTTTCTCCACAGCCTTGTTCACATGTCCTGAATGATGTTAAGGCTGCACCTTGAGCACCAGACAGGCAAGTCGATGAGGCTTTGAACCTTCACGAAATGAAGTGGCTGAAAAATACGGTGTTCAGACTGATCGACAATCTTCCTTGATACTGGACTCTAGCGGAAATAGTATTAGCTCGAAAGAAAGCTTAATTAATCAGGCTAAGATGTGGCACGTGTTTTCCACTAATACCCATCAGTGTCATGCTGATGTGATGCTGCCTTCCTTCATATTATTATCAACCTTCCACATCTTTACCTACTAATCTTCCTCTACTTCTCTCGATTGATACTCCTACACCATCTTTAGTTTTATGTAGCTCCGAAACTCTTGATAAACTATTCAAGCTCACACAACATCATCCCTGGTCTCTTGAAACCGCGCTTCAAAATTATATCGAAGCTTTCAATGTCCGTGTACTCTGTTAAATCGTCCGACAAGCTTCGCTAGCCAAACCTCTGGTATCTCAGGTCATGGATATGTGTTGTGTTTGTGAGACATGCATGGTTATTCACTCAATCTCATCCGGTCAATATGGTGACTCCGCGGAATTCACCCCCCAAGTTTCTGGAGTTTTGATGGCTAGTTCTCTCAGTCTTACAGGTGAAAGTAGGGTATTACATCCTAAAGCAGAAGGTGGACTGCTTGACTGGATCTCAGTTGACAGTCACCTTTGCACTTTTCCCTCCTATCGAACTAACAAGTGCTACTCTTCCGTCCTTTCCTTATTTTGCTGGTTTGAGTTAGCTTTTGTCAGTAAGCATTCCAGTTAGCGTTCAAATGATGAGCTTAATGCAGTTCACAATTGTAAATCGTTTCCGTGACTTCCGTTGACGCATTTTCAGCTTTATTCAACATCATCTCTGAGCTTTTTGAGTATCGCCAGAAATGGTTAGTGCTTTAAACAGCTACCGTCATTTTCTATGTTCTACGGAAATTTTCCTCGTCTACAAAATTAGGGTTCATAAATATCTAATGATGATTTGCGAAAATGATATCATTCTATATTGTGGCTAAGGGGTATTCGATGTCGTATCTAGACTCCAAGAACAACCTTTATTTCACAAACTACCGCCTTAATCGTCGATTCGATAACCCCGGGTACCTAATGGTTTAGCACCATGATATGCTTGAACCATAAATTATGGTTTTTTTGCTGATTGTGCTTTTCGAAATGGTTTGCAAGGAGAATAAGGTTAAAAAACACTTCGGTTATTCCATTTCATCTTGCAACTCAAATTCTTGTACTTCATCACAACTTCAAACTGTTCTATAGAAACACCTGCCATGGGTTTACCAAATGACTAGTTGATATACCTCGTGGTTGTAGTCCGCGTGCAAACTGAAATCGATTGTTGGAGACTATTTCAGTGACAAGGATGCATCGTCACATTGTATTCATGTCTATCTTTATATCAAGTTTTGTCATTGTCTTACTTTCCCTTTAATTAATTTCTACTGCTTTTTCCTTATTTCCCCATCTTTCATCTGGGTGTTTTCTCTTTTGATGTACTGATATAAGGTGTAGCAACTTGGACAGTTACTCAGTAGCGTCTGGTTATATGTTGATTTTGGCTGATCAGCTGGTAATTTTGAATGTCGGTTCCTTTTCCAACCACTTGTCATTCTTCTTTCTTTGTCTGTCTGGTTCATTTTGATGTCTTCGTCTTTTTCTATCTCCCATTTCTGCTTTGTCGTTAGTTGTAGCAACATGAGACCATGCATTTTTGTACCAAGTTCTGTATTTCTGTCTCTTTACTCAGGCAAACGACGGTACATACTTTTATAATTCTCACTAGTTGCTAGGCACATGACAGATAGAATTCATAAACTTTCGTGCGACAAACAAACTGTGAAGCTATATTGTGTATAATAGGTGTTTACTACTCTTATGCCTGTTAAATATGACTCTCGGAGGCTGAACATGTCAAGAGACTCCTGGTTTTCGATCATCAGTTTACTCATAGTCTTGCTCACTTATGGTGAGTGATGGTGAGGCTACACGTTGAGCAGTCGGACCCCGCTCAGTCGGTGGAGCATCGGACCGGAAACCCGGTGGTCAATGGTTCGAATCCGGCCGCGGTTCAAATTTTCATTTAACCTTCAATCATCGGCCAGTATAATAAGTTTATGTAATTGTCCTTCATCATGAAATATATGATATTTATTTTTACTATTTGTATTTGACAGTTCTGTGACATTCTTTGTTTCTGTATGTAATCATAAGCTTTCTTTTTTATCCAAGTTGATAAAGTACACAGTGTACATTATGACAAATTTTGTCTCCAACTTTTAGACAATTTCACTACTTAAACAACAATTCTTTTGTTTTTTTGCCACTTAGTTCGAAGAGTGTTTTTCCTGTCTTTTTACTCGTTTTTAAAAAAAACAACCGAATCGAAGTCATATTGTACATATTTATTAACGTGTTTACGGAATATTGTCTTTTTTATCAAGAAATATTGTACTACTGAATACCGTGAATAGATTGAAGCTGTTCCCATTGATCTGTAGTGTTTGTTGGCCATATCAAGGTAATAATAATCAGTGGACAAATGCTTTTGCTTCATATGGGATCAAATTCGTTGACGAAATACTCAAATTGACTCAGTTTAAGTGGTTGAATTGCCTCTATTAAAGAAAGTATTTGTTTTTGGTAATGCTGGTAGTGATGGTTTGATAGGTCTAATCAGATTGAATGTGTTTTTCACCATAGGACAGCATCTGTTAAAGAATCACTGGAAAAATGAATACCTTATTTGGTTCTAACTTAATTCCTTAGGTTTTGATTGAATACTACAGAAGAGACGTGGAGTTAGATAGAACATCTGTTCAGTGAAAGATTTTTATATGACGTTGACTAGTGTGAAAAAAAATATTTGTTGACATATTGTTAGATTCAAACCAGATGTATCCAGGGTGTCTCAAAATGCCTTGTCTAGCTGTTATTTAAATGAGATGTACGTGGATTACGTGACCTAGTTGAACAAATAATATAATAACTATTCACATAACAGTAGAGGATAAAGCAGCCCTACGTAAATTTTTCTTCTGAGACAATATTAAAATAAGATCTGGCATTACAACGGTTCGAGTTACCAAACCTCATGTTAACACATCAGACAAGAAGGCACAAAGATGAAAGATATAAGAATAAAAAAGAGCTGTCAAAAGTGGTACAAAGTCCCAAATGCGGGCACGGAAGAATGAAAGAATACTGAAATTCACTTTGACGATTAAGATAGTGTGTGCATGCATTTGTGCTACTGAGATCGATTCTAGGTCATGTCACTTTCAGTCTCCAACCATTGGTCTCTGTTGTCACACAAACCCCAACCAAGAAGTCTACGTGGCCCAAACCATCCGTCAAGAACTTCAGGGACTGATACCATGTTTCAGTCTGTTCGCCTGTAACTTTTTCCGAGCCTGAACCTTCTTCAGCTAACATTGTATGACGAGATTGGCGATGACTTTGCATGCGTTACACGTATCCCAGTTATCTGAGTCAACGAAGGTTCACAACCTCATCAACTGTTTTTCATCTTCTTCTCGAAACGCTGCACCTGACTTCTGTGTTGCTGACGCGGTGAAACCACGGTGCACAGCCTATGCTTTGAAGACGATAGTGACAGAACACATGAAGCCTTCTCATATCCTCCAACTTTAAGGACCGTGTTTCACAACTGCTGTCCAGTATGCTCAACTCTTAACAGACAACCAAATATCCCGGTGGAGCCATAAATGGCGTAATTCGATGAAAGCCAGTTGAGCCTTTTCTTTTGATCTTCACCGTCGTACATTTTCAGTTGTATGAATTTCTATTTATACTGTTTTGAGTTGCCTTTATTGTATATAAACAAAAGTTTATATTTGATAAATCGTATGGTACGATGTGATAAATATTTAGGCTTCTTGATCATTACAAACTTTTGAAGATGATTGCAATCGGTTATTCGACTTTTTTGGGGGTGACTTTAATGGCTACTCGAGAAACTACTGAAATGGCCAATGAGGTTTCGGTATTTTGGTCAGGAAAACAGTTTCTCATAAAACAAAGAAATCTAATTGGTTATCTCAGCAGTTGTTAGGGTGACCTTTAAAAGGCACTCATTTTCTCGTTCTTGCGAGCTCTAATCATTTGACTACGCCATACTGTATGGTGTTTGCATTTGCGATTCCAATCGATTATCTTTTTTATCTCCCTTGTATAAATTATCCTTACTTTGTGACACAGTTTGGAAAAATGTTCAGCGGTTGAAATAAAGTTGATGCTTGATTGTTCGTCGAATCTTGGAACCCACTTGCTACAGTATTGCGTTACTATACCAAAGGTTTGTTCGATTTGGATCTTGCTTCCAGTTGCGTTTTCTTTCAATCAGTCTTGTGTATACCAACTCAGTACGCCAAGCTAATGGCTATCTCATACAAAAAGACAATATCAATACCACTAATAATTATATGTGTTTACTGCCTGTTTTAAATAGTGTAGTCATATCAAATTGTAAGCGTGTTCTCCTTATATCTTAACAATAGGCTCGAGTGGACTTGGATTCAGCCTAACCAGCTGTGATGCAAATCCGTCTTCAACTGGTGACTCTGTATCGAATCAGAAGGTTATCTGCGTAAAAAATATACTTCCTGGTGGTGCAGCTTTAACTGATGGTCAATTGAAACCTGGTGATCTCTTAATAAAGGCAGGTTAAAAGTTCTTTTTGTTTCATAAATCATTATCCTCAATCCTTCATTTAAATTACAGCTTGACATAATCAGTTTAAATAGTTTAACCACATTTGTGTTTTTCCCATAAGTGTACAATATCATATATACTTTAAAATTGTTTCAGTGGTTATACTTTGTTGATTTGATTGCATCATTTCAGGCTACATTGATGCTGAGTAACTATGGTTCATCGGTTTTTGGTATTAATTTCCAACTAGTGAATCATGTGTTCGTAACTCACTCCGTTTCCTGGATTTTGGCTGACTGGATCGCCTCATTAACCAACCTTCTGAGTATACCTCGAAGCTTAATAAATGTATAACTGCGAAATCGTATTCCAAATGTTGATATATACTATTTTCAGTTGTCATGGAAGGGGTGATTTATTTCGATAAACGCATTAGATGTTTTGAGCCAACAAGAATAGTAGATGATATTTTTAAAAAATTAGAATAATGGAATAACAGCAAACAGAACCTTTGAAATAAGCGATAATTATATTCTAGGTTATTCTGTTGATCTGGTCATTTTGTGTCGAAACGTAATTTATTGAACTAATAACTAGCGATTTTAATTCGGTGGTTATATCGTTTGTTTGAAGTTCAATCTTTAAAATTTCGAGACAGTGATGGGGAATATCAGTGGTTGTCATTAGATCAGGCGACAATGTCCCGTAAGATTCCATATCAGTGTTTCAATTCAAGTTGTTGCCTCTGCAATGGGCGGCTCAATGGTTTAGAAAGATAACTACCAACCGGTGGGCCAGTTGTCCGAACCCCGCTCCACATACCAAGGTTTGGATAGTCCCTACACGATAGGTCGGGCTCATTGCCTATTGCATGGATGTGCACAAGGTTGCTAAGTGTGTTTGCTCCGCAACGCGTAACTTGTTGATAGACAGGTTGAAATTTACTTCGGTTCTATAGTCTTGTTGTACTGTGGAGTGCTGATAAAAACGTGCTTGTTCTGGAATTCTGTGGTGAGATATATTGCCAACCAACGCTGGATTTCATATCAGCTAAGTTATCTATGTATACACGGTTAAACTGTCCACCGTTATGCAGTAAGTCTGGCTCATAACCTTAAACAATAAATAAACCATAGCCACCTCACTTTAACATTAGATTTCCTTTTATATTATTTCCCCAAAAGATAAAATAACTTTATCAGTTATATATTTATTTATTTTACGATTATTTTTGTTTATTCTTTTTGTTTTGGTGATTGAATTTCTGCATTTATGTGTTTTATAGTAAAAAGAGGTGGATCAATTCAATAAATAAGTTTTGTTAGTGCTATTATTTTTATTACGACTAATATTATCAGTACATAGGTATTGCACCTATGTATTCAGCTGTACATATCACTATATATCGTGCACATTAAACCTTTTTTAAAATTAATTCCTAAGGTTGGATTGATAATATATAGTTGTGAATTTCCATACATTTATCAATCGAGGTCTGTGGTATTTGTCATATCAAAAAGATAAATTAGATGATGTTGTGCATTCATATTACATGTTTTATTTAGGTTTTAAACTTGCACTAGTTGATGTAGCTAGACTACTCGTTGAGTAATCTGAATCCCTACGCATTGTAACCTGCAGTGCTGGTTGGAATGAGACTACGGTGAAAAATGATCTATACATGAAATAATTTCAGTTCATAAAGTTACTGAGTGCTAGTTTAGACTGTATAAGGAACTGTTAACTGTATGGATAAAATCATCAATGTGTTGGGAATCAGTAAGAGTCTTCAACTAGCATGACTCAAAATTGTCCTCAGTGATATCTCGAAAACTTGCTAGTGCATACCGGAACCTAGGTGACCTGAGGTATGGAAGAACGACAGAATTCTGATGATGATCACTGTAAGTGTTTAAAGACGACCCACTCTTTATCATCCTCGAATTCCTCATCATTTCACTGTTTCTTTCCCTTTTCTTGTATCATTTTATTTCTGTAGTGATGGAGCTGTGGCTTAAATCTTTAGACAGGTGATTATTAACCACTGGGTTACAAGTCCGAATCCCGCTCCGCCTACCGAGGTTTAGAGAACCAAGTAGTATCTCTAGCCCTCATATATTGGATGGGGCTCATTGCTTACTGCACGAATGTGCGAAAGGTTGCTGAGTGCGTACTGCGCCTACTACTTCTCCATTGATATCGCTTCACTTCTCTCGATTTCATTTGTTTGCTGTTGTAACTTGTAGTGGCCCCTAAATCGTCACACTTCTGTATTAGGTTATACCTATAACATGTTCCTCTGTTTCTCATAATCGTGTAGAAGAAAAAAATGAATTGTTTCTCTGAGGACTGAAATTTTTTTATACTGAGTATTAGAACCTAAATAATTTGCACTTTTGTAGTGACAGCTGGGAAAATAAAGTTTGCAATTTAACTGTAATTCAGGAAGGTATTAAGTGTGGTTACAAAATCGTGATCAAAGAAGCATAGTTCTAGAGTTAAGGGTGTAGGAAAGGAAAATGGGTTACATATAAGCACTGGTACAATGTGCAATCGCTAACTTTTCTATAGATTTGCTGGTATTTGATGGGAACCTCTTGTAGCAGGATAATACGCGCTTGATCATATGTTCAGCAGATTAAAAGTTGTTATTCAAAATTTAATAATTTGAATACGTTCACTCAGTTTATTTGCTTGATGGCGCCTTGCACTGGAATTCAGCGTGCTCAGTCTGTCTTTATTTTACAGTCGTCAGCTAGGTTTACATGCATTCTGGTGAGTGGTGTTGTTCTCACCGAACCATGGATTACAAGTGGCTATATTCCGATTTTTCTGAAAACAAATAGTATACTATCTATAATGGCAGGCGCTCCACTTCATTACTTACTGAAGCCTGTTTCTTAAGGTGGAGTACCTCCTTAGCTTCTGTTTTCATTCTTTTTGCATGATTTGCCTTATTCCATTGGAACTAATTTTATTATATTGATGGCCTGATGGTCTCTGTTCCGGTCAACTCTCACTTAGATTGCTCTAAATTAAATGGTTTCTTGTCTGAAATTGAACAGTCGTCTCTCTCAAATAGTCTCAGGCTAAACCCCTCAAAATGTTAGACTGTTAATTCTAGTTTCAGGCATAAAGAGGACTTGTGTAAGCTGCTTAAGTTTCATGTTGTAGAAAGTAAGTCGAGTGTTAACTATCTTAGGTTGAGTTTCACTTCCAATCTTTCTTAGTCGCCTCATGTTTTATTGACTTTCAAGGAAATCTTTCCTTTAATGTATTACATAAATAAACTAAGACTCTCTGGTATAACTCAGTCTCTACTTTTACGATTTATTAATCCCTGACTTCTGCCTATTCTTGTCTATTATTCTCTGCTGATCTTTTCTGGTTTATTGAAAAAGATTATGTTAGATTGCGTAGTGTTTTGAAAACTGTCAGTAGGGTGAGTGCTATGTTTGTGACTCAACTGATTAACACTGTAGTTGACTGACATTTAAATTCTAACAGGCAACTTTTTATTATTATTTGTCCCATGGGTTCCTAGTGGAACATAGGACTTCAACAGCACGTCTCCATTTCACTCTCTTCTCTGCAGTCTTTTCAACCTGACTCCACCACTGCCCACAAGCTTTCATTTTTTCCTCACATGATCTCCTCCATATCGTCACCCTCGGATGCCCAACTCTTCGTTTTCCATGCAGGTTACACTCGAAGGCCTGGTGCGTGATGTCCTCAGTTGGCCTTCTCTGTGTATGCCCAATCCATCTCCACTCTCTTCTACATATTTGTTGGGTGATGGGTTCTTAGTTGGTTTGTTGCCAGAGTTCCTTGCTACTTATTCTTATTATTCTGACCATCTGATCTTCAGTGTCAGTATCGAGTGGGCGTAGGCGGCAGCTGTTGATGAATGTTTGTAGTTTGTTGGAAATGCTTTTCGTAACTTCCCAAGTTTCTGAACAATCATATAGAAGCACTGACTTGGCTGACGTTGGTGTTGAAAATCCAGTTATTGTTCACGCTTTATGCTAAATGCAGTAGATCTCCACACTGGTTTCAGGTTAATGAAGGCCTGTCTTGCTTTGATATCCTCATCTATGCCGCCGCGTGTAGTTGAAACGATGCTGCCTTTAGATTTCTCTCGTTGGTGGTGATTAATGCTTGTTGTTGTTGGTTGGGTATCTTCATCACTTCTGTCTTCTCTACGTCCACCTGAAGGAAATCCCGTCTTCGCTGCCTCTTCTGTCAACTTGTTAGTTTTCGGATGTAGATCTTTGAGTTTGTGCAACAAGACATTGGACATAGACCATCATCGGCGAAATCCAAATCTTCTGGGGTCTTTTCATCGCATCAGTCAAACAGCTTATGCTCATCTTCTCGCTCCTCACAGTTTGTTGCATGATCCAGTCTAGTCCAGTCGACCACAATCAGGAGGATCATGGGTGATAGTTGGTGGCAGCCTTGTCTTACTCTTGTCTTCACTTCAAAGGCATCACTGAACTTTCCATTGTGAATCACTTGATATGTAGCTTCATCATATAGTATATATCTGTTGAATGAGGTTGGTAAAGAATTGTGACACTCCGTAATGTTGAAGCAGCTGCCTGCCAAAACACTTCTCGGTCGACGCTGTCGAGGGCGTTTTCAAAATAGATGAAGTTGAAGTAGAGTTGAGTTGACTGTCATTCTATGCTGTGTTCTATGATGATGTGTAGCGTAGCGTTGCAATTTGATCCGCACATGATTTGTTTTTCCTGAAGACAGCCAGCTAGTCAACCAGCATGTTCCGGTCTAAATTTTGAATCCAGCGCATACTTTAGTCTCTCCAGCATGATGTGGCCTAATATTTTGCTTGGTGTGGACAGGAGCATGATTCCGTGCCAGTTCTTGCGAAGGCTTATGTCTCCCTTCTTTGGGATTTTGACAAGGTAGCCCTTCTCCCAATCGATCAGCAGGTACCTTTCCTTCCTTCCTTGCAAACCTTCTGATTAGTGATGTGAACATGTCCGCTGTTGTCTCTGCGTCTGCTTCCAGTGCTTCTTGAGGAATTCCATCTGGTCCTGCTGCTTTCACGGATCTCAGTAGTTTTATGGCATTCGAGACTTCTGCTTTTGTCGGAGGGTATGTGCTCACTGGTAGTTCTGCCGCTGCTGTTGGTATTTCCGGACGAGTTGCAGTTGGTGGTGGTGGTCTATTGAAGAGTTTTTTGAAGTGGTCAGCCCATTGTTTGTCCTCTTTGGTAACTAGCTTTCTTCCACTATCTCTCATTGGTTTCGTCTGCGTTGATCTCTTCTCTCCCAGATAGTAACCTGGTTGTTTGATATAAGTAGTTGTCAGGTCTCTGTCTCTTTTACCAGGAGCCTGTTCTGTTTCACTTGCCAGTGTGTCGTAGAAGTGTTTTTTGTCTTTGCGCGCACTCCTCTTGACTTCTTTGTCCAGTGTAGTGTTTTATGCGTTGTACTCAGTTTGTCTTTTCTTTGTGGATCCTTGCACTGGTTCCTCTTCTGGCTCACCATCTTCCTCTCCCTCCTCTATCAGCTTCCATGTGTCCGTGGAGATTTATTCCTTGTCTTGTTTCCTCTTCCGTCCTAATACGGTTATGCAGGTTTCTTTCCACATCTCTTCCAAAGAGTTGCAGTGTTCTTCCACGCTGATTTCTTCAAGGATTCTGTCTAATATCTCCCATTTTTTCCAGATGATTGACTGACGTGAATATGTTGTGTGTAGTTTTATCCTTCAGTTTCTGGGTGTTGAACTTGAACTGTGGTCTATCACCAACTTCTTTGAAGGCTTTCAACTTGATTTTCAAGGTAGGTTGCTTACACTAACTAGTGATTAGTCTGAACCTACATCTGCTATTCTTCTTGATCTTGGGTCCAGTAGGCTGCGTCTCCACTTCTTTCAGATTGAAATGATGACAATTTTATTTGTAGTATGTCCTGGTGTCTGTGAAATCAAATCCATGCCGCTGCCTTGTGAATATCCTTGTGTTTGTGCACACTGCATCGCCTCAAATCACCAAATCGTTGAATGTGCAGAAGTCCGCAAACAATTCTCCGTTCTCATTCATTTCACTGAGTACTTCTCGACCCATGATGATTTCTCTTCCTGTGTTGTCCGCTCCGAGTTTGGCATTCATGTCACCCCACCCATTAGAATGAATTTTGATGTTACCAACTGGAGTTTTGTCTAGTTCTGTTTGCAGTTGTCTGTGGAATTCCTCCTTCTCCTGTTCATCTGCATTATTTGTAGGTGCATTGTGCAGCATTGTATGATTGTGACTTTCCTTCCTTTTGACTTGAAACTTGCTGTCATGATCCTGGAGGAGACTGTTTCCCACTGCATGAGAGAGAGCCTTCGACGCTGCTGAGAGGGGATATCATGATAGCCACTCAAAAACTCAGTGTACTGTGCTCGTGGTTGTCGTCTGAATGACAATATCGGAGTAGATTATTGACACCTCTTCAGTTGAAAGTTTGGAGAGTCCACTTTCATTTCCTCTGCTTTCACAGATTCCTAGCACTACTATGCTATATCTTATCATCTTTTTGGCAATCTGAGCAGCCTTGCTAGGTTCATACATGGTGCGGACATTCCATGTCCCCATTCTTACTTTCGCTTTGATCGAGAGAAGAGGAGACGTATCGGCCAACTCGTTTCCGGAAGACTTTCACCAACTGGGGTCATTTCGCCTCTCCGATTCCAGCGAGGAATAAGTTTGTTTTCATTTTTTGTATTTTCTTTGTGCTTTGAAGTTTGTTTAGCTATTGGATTTGTTTTGCGGGGTAGGGTTGCTGGCCGTATGCTCAACCTTCCCTGTTTATTTGGCTTTAGGACCGGCTAGTAACTAGTGAACTATTTACCTAGGCGAGCTTCCAGCCGTCAATGAGCTGCCGTAATTTTAACTGACACTGAGCATCCACTGTACTCACAGTTCTCTCCTTGTATCTACTGAGGGAGGACAAGAAGAAATTGCATACGACTGTATACTCGTATAGCTTCATACCAGACTTCGACTGTGACTTACCTAGCATGCATATTGTGTGAAGAAAAAAGTGTAAGAATAGAACTTGTTTATCAACTCTGTAACAATAAATGATGTGTATTTTCAATATTTTAACTAAGAATGTTGAAGTTTTCCTCGTCAGTATTATTCTTTACTTAACCCTAATTGTTATAATAACTCTATTCGAGATGTAATAAAGAAATATGTGTATAATAGTTATCATTATTATTATTGAAGCTCAAACCCAGCAGTCGTCGTTTGAAACCACTGAGCGTATTCCATTAGACCAACGAGTCATCGTAGTTATCTCTTTAACAGTTGGTTAGCATTTGTTACTTGTTCATGCTACTGGAATGAGCAGGTATATCATAGTACCAAGTCCCCAAATGTTCGAAATCCAAACCCTGCACTCTACTGCTAGCCGCTATCAAAAATTATGCCGAAGTAAACCTAAATGGAATATCGAAGTAGCTATTCAGGACACTGCTGTACCGATGAAGATTAACCATTCCAACCAGTAAAAGGAATATTAGGAAATTGAAAATAGAGACGAGTGACCTAACGCATCTTTCTTCTCTGCTTTTTATACTGAAAGAAGTTTGTACATGTTAAAATCAGCAAGAAAAAAAGCAAAGAGATAGTTACACCATGAAACGATACAATATAATTTGGAATAGTTCTTATAAGATTATCACATACTGTTGTTGGGTAATTACTTTCGTCAGCCAGTATTAACATTTTGATGCAGAAAGAGCCATCTACTAGCCAGATCTCTATCACACCTTAACCTTTATCTTCATAGGTAGAGATTCATCTGTTGTGATCAGGTGTATTTCAGGTAACTTAGTAGGCATAAGCTACTCGTTGTTTTACTTGATGACATTTACTCGATTTGCAAACATTTGTGAAAGGAATAGATGTTTTAGTTAGTATAACAACAGAAAATTGTATACTGTTCATTTACATAATTGTCAAGTAAAACATTGATTGTTGCAGTGATACTGAGAATGAAGTCAGTCAACAGATTTTCTGCCAGATAACGTGGCAGTTATTGATTGAAATCTTACCACAACTGAAGTTCTATTGGAACGTCAGTAGTTATCTTAGTGGCATAGATTTGTCTGACTACAAAGGGTACTTACTCCCAAATAGTTTATAAACGCCAATAAACATTCATTGATTATCGGGGTTGACTAGATAAAGTTTATTCAGCGTATTTTTGTAGGTTTTTCTGTTTGTCTACTCCTTAAAACCAATAGACATTTAAGCGTAATATGTCGCTCTTATATTTTTCTTTTGGATATTTAGGTTGATGATATTTATGTAAATGAAATTGGTCAAGCACGAACGGTTGCATTGTTACGTAGTAAACCTGTAAATACTATAGTTACTTTAGTTGTCAGTCGACCGGAACAACCTGATTTTAATCCTCAAAACATTAATAGTAATGAAAACAGTACCAGTCATACATGTATGCCTGATTTGAAAATAATCCCACCTTCTGTAGTATGTACAATTTCTTCTAGTTGTTGCTTGAACACTGCGAATACCTCTGCTATTCCTAATGAACAGTTATCAAAATTAGCAGCAGTATCATTGGTATGCGAATCTACATCTGGATCATCATCAGTATCATCTCATTCACAGCCAACGATGCAGCAACAAAATGGAAAGGTTATTGTGGAACAACCTTCCAGTTATACAGCCAAATTACCATATAAGGTGAGTAATTTAATTGGTTTTTTGTTGTATCAACCTCATGCTCTATCATTTTTCTTTCTCTCCACATGATGTACTGCTAATATACTAAGTTTCAAATATTCAACCAAAAAGCAATATCTTGTAATGATGTTAAATGAAGTCATTGATGTTTGAGATGTAACAAAAGTAGTATCTTGTGTAGATGAGATACTATGTATGCAAATCATATAATAAACAATAAATATTTTACTCTCATATTAGTAATTTAACATGAGAGAAGCCGGTTCACGGGTATCGTCACATTGATATATATTGGAAAATCTACAAGATGTTACTGGACCTGAATGGTACAGAAGGGAGGTCATCAAATTCGATTAAAAACATCAGATTCCACGAGTTATGAAATGAACAGGAAAGTACCACTTTTCAGCACATATAGTGTTAACGTTTAGATCGTTTTCAGTCATACTTTCTTTTTTCACCATTGGTGACACCAAGGTTGCGCAAAATTTCGAATTTCCGTTACAAGTAGTCGACATGTTTGATTCGTCGTCGTAATGCCCCGTTAGGCTAGATAAATGTCTATTTTACCATAAATTCTTATGCTTATAGCTTCGGGGATCAAAAGAACCCACACTGATGATTTGGGGAATCTGTGAGTTTCCACATAATGATGTAATCCAAGTGAATATCTATTCAAGTGTTATTATTCTCAGCAATATAGATTTACGCCATCAGAATTGTGATGCAAAGAAATAAACATTTAAAGAGCTGCAGACTGCTTGCAGTGCGTTTTCAATACTGTTCAAGTTGAGGTATGCAGCATTATCAAGGAGATATATTCACTGTTTGATGAAGTACTAGAAAAGTCTGTTGCATAGCATTGTTGTGAATATGTTAACTTTAAAGTTAGTAGGTGAGTGGATCTCCTGGATTTTACTGTCTGTCCAGATTTTCGTTGCCATTATGACCGTTCAGAAATTTGAGTAGTTCGAGGTCTGTTTGAAATGTACAAAGCTGTTCATTTATTAGATGTAATTTTGAAAGTTTTGGAAATTAATGGTTAAAAGGTACGAGTAAAATAAGGATTGCACAATCGTTTTTTATTAGCTTCATTTTTTTTTCTGTCAGTTGAGCTAACTGTTAGTTTACACGCTTTACTTCTAAGTAGAGGGTCCTAAAGTCGATTCTCACTCTTGATAAAGTTTAATCAGTGAGGTGTTATCATTATCATAAAGAATAGTTGTAGTTCATTTCCAGGTTTATGTAGTCTTTGAGTTGCAAACAATCCGACCTCTGTCACATTTATCATTAGTATAAAAGGGCAAATGAATCTAAAAGAAACAGGGTATTATAATAAATAAGAAACAGTGCATGGGTACAGCAAGAAAATATTTGTACATTTGCAAGGATGTTTAAGATGATGTATTTAGATATAGCTCAATGGTTGAATTCTCGGTCGAAACCTTGTTCCACATACCTCAGGCTTGGTGAATGGTTTGGCAGCTTCGTGTCTACCCTCACATATTATATTTGGCTCAATGCTTAGAAAATTACTGGGTTAATGTTCAGGATCACTCTGCACTGGATTTTTCCTCCTTTGTTTCGTTCACTTCTTGGATGTTGCAACACAAAGAGAAGAAACATTATTTTTGCGTAGTTGTGTTTTTGCCTTAGTTGTATTTTTTATCTTCGAATGCATATTATTCCACAAAATTTATATCTCAATAAATAACCTTTGCCAATAAGAGAAAATACCAGCCATAATGATTTCGCTCTCGCTCAGTTTTTTTAGTCTTGTTTTTTTACAGTCAACTAAAATGCTTTTTTGTTAACGGTAGTCAATCAAGATAATGGTTAAATATCTATAGGAATGGTATTGTATCAGTGGGGTAATTTAACACCATAACTCTGTTTTATACTTTTTAGTGAATGAAACAGTTGCTTCAGGTTTACTTAGCTCTAAAGTTGATTATGCATGAACAGAATATCGCTAGACTAATCAAATATCCAAGAATGACTACAACCATACTTTGTCGAAATATAGTTTATCAGTTATGAGGAACTGTTTTTTATGAATCTATGGTTCGGTTCAGTCATTAAGCTAAATCAACTTATGAAACCAAAAAGTATTTTACTACTGAAGATGCTTTCACATGTGATACAGCATTGTGATTAGTTGGTTAGAATCAGCGAACCGAAGACCCTGGGTGTTCGCTGAATCCTATTAGTCAAGTTTGTAATATGGCCAAAAAGATGTGCCATACAGCACTGCTGTGAACACATTAGCATCTCTGAACTTAATGACCATATTTCACGCTTGTTAGATAAACTTCAGTACTTGAGTATACATCACTTACAACTCGATGACCGATTATCACACAATCTGATTATGTGTAAGAGGGTTAGTTTCGACTTGAATATTTTAGCGATAAAGTCTTTAATTCTAGCAGTAAGCGAGTGAAGGTTGTAGGAAAGTCTTTTTCTTACCGATTGACTCCTAAAATTCAACGCTAAGGGGAACAACTTGGAATTTTATATGAAGACTACTTGTTATATCAATAATACGAAAACTACAAACTAACGCGTTGTGTCGGTCTCATTGTGTTGAACGTGAATAATGATGAGATGAATAACTGATATCCTTTGATATATCTTATCTTTATTTATTTACTTAATAACTATTATCTGCTTTACTTTTAAGATTTCTACACTAGATATTATTGCTAAATTTTAGGTCCGTATTGTTTCCTTTTTTCCTCCTACTGTACAAGTCCATCTTGTGATTCTTTTTCTCCCTGTGTTACACTAGTATGTAGAATCATCATGAGAAGTAACAACCTTCCCGCATATGTACACTCTGTGTTCATATATATATATATATATATATATATATATATATATATATATATCTGAATTACTTTGATTTAATCCTATATGACACAAGATCAACTTGCTTACCATTGATTGTGTATTTGTGGGATTGAATAAGCCCGTAGATAAATAGATGAACTGTTTGAGCTACTCATTTTGTCTCGAAATTGGTATTAACTGCGCTGTGAGGTTGCTTTTGGTCTATATTAGAATACTGGATACAAGTCCTCATCCCCATAAGATTCATCAAATAAATATGCCTGAATAATGTTGACGTTACTGTCTTGTGCGCCAACAATAGATGGAAAATTATTACTGGGTTGGCAGCGGCTAAGAATAAACTACAGTGCGCCTATTTCATCCTATTTAAGGTTTGTCATCTGTCTGTATTCCCACCAGGTGTTGTTTCCACCTGTTACCTATTGATCCAACTGCTGAAGTGTTACCCAATCGGTTACTCAGTCATGAGGACACCTCTTGTGTAGTAAGTGTCAGTTATTAGTTCGCTAATTGTTATAGGTCAATTAATTCTGTTCATTAGCATGAAGAATGGGGAAATATAGGTATTATGGTTGAATCTTAGTGGATGCACAATCACTCACTATGATGCACATATTTCCAAATAGCAAGTACTGAATAGAACCTCAGCTCCACTGCCGACTACCATCAAATTAGTAGCATCCTGTAGATGTTTCTGTTCTGTCATACATGGATTTCGATTGATTACTTTGCGTTCTATACACTGAGAAGGTCATCTATAAAGTTATGATTTCCGTGCTTGACAATTTCATCACTGCCTACATTGAACCGTCCAAACCATTTTCAGACGTTCTTAGTATCATATGTGATATATGTGTGCTTGCGAATTAGTTTCAAGTTTGCTGCACATAGCAAATATTATTAACAAATGACTGTTTATAGTAGCAGTAATAATACATGGTACTCATTAGATGTAGAATCTGTAGAGCTGTGGCTCATTAGCTTAAATATTTTACTTTTAAGCAGTAGATCGTGGGTTCATTGACACTTCACATACTTTGTCCTGAGCAATAGATAAAGTGCGGCTTATAACCTGCACTATGTTGGGTTGCAATAATCTCTGAATTATTAGAGCCTAGGATTCACATTTCTTCTTATTTCAGTTTTGTCAACTTGTTGAATAGTAATGTTGCTAGTCTTATTATTCTACAATATTCATTGTTCTTAGACATCTCAACCTATGATATAGATGCTCAGTTAGTTTGTTTCCGATGTTGGAAGATCGTTGCACTGGTTTCTTCTGTTGATTGCCACTAATTACTGTCGTAAAGCAATCGACAGTTGTATTGAGACATCTAGATTATGTTAGTTAGGTGGCAATCGGCAGGAAGCCGTGGAACTAGGTCTACTGGTTGTCGGTACTCGTCAGCAAGGCGTATCTTCAACCCCGATGAAACTGATACCCCGCCTCAGATTCGAACCCGCGTCGCATTGCGAAATGGTCGATAGAATTTTATCAGGATTAGACAACATGAAGTTGGTTACCCTCGGTGACCAATCAGTTTATCTTATCCAGTCCTACAGGAGGTCATTTCTGGTCCGAATAGCTCATTGGTAAAGTCGTTGACTACAACACTTTGTGACGCAAGTTCGAATTTCAGGCGGGACATCAGTTTCATTAGGGTTGCAGATACGCCTTGCTGACAATTGCCAACAAACACGAAGTCTAAGTCCAGGGCTTCCTGCCGATTGCCTTCATCGTACTAACAGCTATCAAAGTGTATCGCTATGCTGAGCTGCCTAGTCTGGTGACCACACTGCAAAATGACCGATAAGATTTAATCAGCACTTAGGATTAAACAACATGAAGTTGGTTACGCTCCAGTGACCAATCTATGCATCTAGATTATCCACCTTTTGCTTCGGTCGACTGGACTTAATTCAGTGGTGTACGTCTTATAGTGAAATATAAGTAAACTGTGCTGCTAGATATTTATATCACAGATTATAACTATTTTAAGAGATGTAAAATAAATTTCAATTTATATAAGGTGCTCATGCTTTTTTTCAACAAATATTTTTCAAGAAATCCTTTCTTTATTATTCTTCACTGTATATCAGTTGTCAGAATGCAGTTGCAGTTCACATGATGATACCTCCCAAGAATTTCACCCTCTTCAACCCTCACACCCTTCATATAAACTGCATGGAGTTGATTCATCACAATGGTCACTCTACTTACTTGATATTCACTTACCCCTAACAAGATCAACTGAAACAGACAAAAGTGTTACACTACAGTCTACAGAATCTATCGTTCACCAACCGCAGTCAATAGTTAAACGACAGACAGGGAACCCAGCTACTTTAGGCGTAAGCGTATCGGTAAGACGATTGACAAGTAATCATCGTGGTGGTGGTGATGATGGTAAACAGGCTGATCAGAAGACAGATGATTCACTTGGTTCACAATCAAATGCTGTGTTTGTACGAACTGTAATTGATGGTGGTCCTGCTTATCAAGTAAGGATTTTTTTAAAAAAACTTCCCTTTGTACCATTGTTTTGTGTTTTTCTGTCCAATATTTGTTGACGTCCATGTCAAGAATTTTGATGTAGCTTTTGCTATTCTGTTTTTTTGCTATTCCCTGATTCAGTATTTTCATCCCTTTTGTGTAAAAGCCATAGTTTTTTTTTTACTGTATGCTATAGAACTGTAGGTACATGACCCAGAATAGGAACCACTAGCGATCATGCTTCAGCCCTCTTTTTTCTTTTCTAACTGAAAAGAATAACGAAAGTAGTGATTGTTTCCCCAAGTGTATCTCTAAGACTATTTCTTTAGAAACTCACTTCTGTTTTTTTCTCTACTTTCTCCTTTATATTTGTCTTTCTAATATTGGTTTATCGTTTTGTATGGGATATTTCGCAATGCCTATTTTGTACCTTAGTGTTCTAATACTAATAATGTTATAATAATTACGTGGACATGAAACATGACTACTGACGGTCTGGGGTTTTATGAAAACTCGCAAAATTAGACAATCATAACCTGCAAAGCACCTCTCGCATTCGGTGGAATCACGCTAAAACGGGTATTATAGTTATGCCTTGTAACTGTGGCGATAATTTTATTTGGATATGTTAATTATTGGTATGCTGAGCTGGAAGTTCTTTTCTAGATTTGAATTTCTAGTTGCACTTCGAGAGGATCAATTTCTTACCTCTCTCTTTGGTCAAGCTTTCTCAGTGGTGCAAAAAAACTGTATCTAGGATTTACTCTTTGGTGCGTGTTTTTATTTTTTTTGTTGTATTACTCAACCCTTCAGTCATATATATAGTAGTCTATTAATTGAAATCTAGTAGGTAGATGAGAGTCGGCCTCCATAACTCATTTATTACTGATCTTTTGGTCCTATTCAAGCTAGCGACCAAGTCCCTAGACACTGAGTAAACCAGAAAGCTGCACATAGGTAACATAGTCAGGCTTAGTTCACTATACACGAATGGTTTTGAAAGGGATCATTATTTTCATTTTTTATTATTCCTTTCAGCGTATGTTTTAATGTTATAAGGTTTTATATGCAACCAAGACAGTGTTTGAATATTGTGTATTCTAGAAAGAAAACATATAAGGGTAGTCTGAGGGAATAAGTTAAGGGATTCTTGTTGAACTTAAGGTCCAAAACTCCCTGTACTTTTATAATTTGCTCTTCATTAGAAAAATGTGTTAATCTATTTGAATTTATATCTTCTGTTGATAGGATGGTCGTTTACAAGTTGGAGATCGTTTGTTAACTATTGATGGTCAACCTTTGTCTGGATTGTCAACATCTGATGCACTTAATCGTTTAAAATCTGTTATTGCACAAGATTTAAACGAGTGTCATCCTTGTGTTCGCCTTCTAATTGCTCGTGCACGTCGTACTACACCCTCTGATGATTCGTATACAAATCCAATAGAAGAACATAGTACAAACAGAATTATCAATCCTGTTCAGCATAAATCATCTTCAGAAGTAGTAAGCACAAATGATTTACGAATATATTATGTAAAATATCTCTTATCAAATAGTCAAATACAATGAGATATTAGCATTATATAATGAATGAATATTTTCTCACTTCCAAGATTCATTTAAAGAAATTCAATCTCACTTCATTTTTTAATGAAGTTAAAATAAACATTTATAGACACTTAAAATTATTTGAACATACTTTTCTTCACTAACCAGCATAATTTCGAAGAAATACATCGAAAACCAGACTAAACTATAAAACTGTTTCTATATAACACATAATCCCTGAGCACTTTTCTTCTTCGGTCTCTGGAGATTTAGACCTTATGAACATTATGCGTTACTATTAAATCAGTTTTTCGAAAGTTAGTGAATTACAACCGAATATGTAGATATACCTTGTTTATTGTCCTTCAAGTTTTGATAATTTATTCTCTAAAATGTCATCAGTAAACTTCCCTACATTAGTAGTAGTATTCATGGACAAAATCTGGAAAATAATTTATTTCACAGATTCTGTAGTCTATTTGATGATTAGCTACGGAACCCAGAACGCGCATCCCGTCTTATTTGGGACTCGTCAACTGAATGCATCTGCAACCACTGGGACTAGAACCAAGTACCTATTGCTTCAGAAGTGTTATCCACTATGCCACTGGGGCACGAAAGCCATCACTTTTGCAATGGGTATCAGTTGTTTGTGGATACTTGCAATTTCTCGTCGCTATACTGATTTATCGTGATATACATTTATTAAATCTGTAAGTCTCAAGTGGATTTCAGATGTTTGAAGTCGATCGGTTAGGCTTCGTGTGTGCTGGTACTGATTAACAAAGTCGAAAGAAAGTTGAAATCTGCATCACTTTATTCTCAAGTTAGGAGTTCTAAAACTAAGATATTCATGACCTCTGATTATATTATCAGATTGTAAGCTACATCTAGTGCTTGAGGGCTAGTGATACCACCTGAAATGTATGGAGTGACTTTGGAAGTATTGCTGGCTGGCTGATAGACAGGTGACTTTCTGTAGAATAACTTGATTTTCGGATGGTAACTGTTATATTTCTCTCTATCCTTTTCCTTCTTTACAGGAATACTTTCATTTTTGTATATGATGAAACGCCTGATGAGACTGAAAAGCATTCTTAGATATTTAATAGTTACTTCATTGAATTTTCAACCAGAGCTATATTAGAAATGATTTGTGGAGTAATAATATCAATAATAACTATGATAATAATATTGATAGTGTATTTTGTCTAACCAGTATGGTAATAGGTGAAAAGAACGAAAAATAAAAGGAAATATCTGAATAGTTATCATGTGTCATACTTTTCGCTTGTATTGTTCTCCATCTTTAGCTTACAATGCTTGTATGTCTTCATCTCACTTTTTGTTTGCAAAAAAATACTATTTGCGAAAGAATAACCTGTAGCTAAGGCTTTTTGCGTTTCTTCTTATCCAAACATTTCTGTGATGTAACCTATATCAGTGTAGGCAAACCCCCCTATGAAATTTCACTAAAGCCACAAAAACAAGTTTTACAGAGTACAATGGATTCATGCTGTGTTATTATGAAACTCGGCTGACCATAATCGGTTCGCTCTTGACCTGTTTCAACTTTCTTCCCGTGTTTTTGCGCTGTTAACTTGTTCAACATATGTACATATAGTCCTTTTGAATACTCTTATTCAATTTCTTCAAGGTATCACAATCTCATCGTGTAAATGATGCTTAAATTTGGATTTAATCCTGAATTTCTTCCTATCTTCCCAATCTGCACAGTTTCATTCTATTAGTCTTTAAATCAGAGTATTATCTCGTTTTTAGTTACTAAAATATTTGTCTTGTAATTTCGTAAGTCTGAATACCGTTATTGTTCTTTGCAGCAACAATGATTCATCTTGATAACCACTTCAGGTTTCGTTCATTATAATGAATACCTGTTAAATGAGGGCTGGCGGTATTATTGAGCTTACCGTATCAATATAAACTGAATCGGTTAGACTGTATTACAAAAATCGATCTTTGAGCTACAGTTCTACTGTGCGAAGTATCGTTGTTTTTTTTTTACTGTTAATGAAGTACTGAATCTAGGCCGCACCACATAAATCCCATACCGCAGTGAATACGAAATTATCTTGTTAGCAATAACGTGTTGTCCAGTCATCACTGCTACCGCCTTTTTTGACTCTAGTGTCATATTGCCCGGGCTTGAATCTTCGAGGCAGCATCGGCCGCATAACGATAGGATGTCATTTTTTCAGTATGTACTAGTATTCGGCAAATATACTTTCATGGCCTGCAGTCGATTACCCCTAGCTATTTGACACAAGACGGTAATTTTAAAGTCAGGCCGTACAATTTCATCCACCAGAGTACATTTTTACTAAATATAGTTTATAATGTCATAACTAATGAATTCCTAACTTTATAAATTCTGTTTCGTACTCCAATAGGGTTAACTGTATAGCTAATCATTTAGAGGTAGTTTCATTTGACGGATTATAACTGTAGGATATCGATCAGAAAGGTCGAATACATTTTGCCATTATAGGGACTAGACCGTGTTTCGGTTAATACCTAATTGAATAACTGTCAACTGTTAAAGGGGTAGATCATCATATTCATGGTGGAATGTCAGATGAGATGGCGGTTGTAGTGAGGACACATGCTCTAGAGTAGGACTTTTATCTTGGTCTACTTAATGAAAGTAAATTGAGGTTGAAGGTAGCTAAAGGTATTCAAACCCAGACAGAGCACCAATCGACAAAGTCTTTTACTTAGAACAAAAAGATGCTGGCTACGTGGCTGATGTTTCAGTATTTAAAAATTCAATGACTAAAAAGTGGTCACAGTGGCGTATATGTATCTCCTGATGCATCTTTGTTCAATTTTACACATTAAATATCTATATGTACGTAAGTTATGAAACTAACCACTTTTAAGTACCGTTTTAAGCACATTTTTGAAGTATATCATGATTTGTTTGACAATATCTTTTTTTTAATTTGATCATACTGTAGGCAAAAAAGGAGCAATGTCATAATCGTGGCGAAGATCAATCAAAATTATTAATTGTCTCTGCTATTGTACACTCATCTGAATCTATCAGCACTGGAAATATAAATGATGTTTTTGACTCAAATACAAAATGCTCACTACCATTGAATACTTGTACTTCCACAGGTTCATCATCAAAATCACAACAGCAGCAACAAAAATCTCATCCCACTACTTCTCATCTCGTGTGTACAGATCAAATATCTCAGGTTAGTACTGGTTGATGATCCATCAGTGTTATTGCCTATTTATTCTCATAGCTATGATCATTATTATGTGAAAGATTATCTAAGTACCTTGAGTGGATTGATATTTGGCAGATTCAAATACGCTTAATCTCTGAAATTCTTCAATTATTATCCAGCTTATAGGCCAACGAAGACTGTAATATCATAACATAATCGATGATGTTTTTTAGCACCTCTGGCTTGAATTGGATAACCTATGTAGCAGAATCTTATCGAAAAACAGATATTCAGTATCTCATCTTTTATGAAATTAAGTACAGAATGCCCGATGTTTATTCCAGTGTAATAATTTTCAAACATTTGATTCTTATCTAAATAACTGAACAGAATGTGCTTCCTGTAGAACTTGAAATTTTCAGGTTGCATTATCAAAAGAGATAGTGTCCATATTAACTTAGGACCTGCAGTTACTGTGCTATGGTCCAGTTTGTCATACCTTACACCAACAGAGTCGAGACTAGATAGACAAATCAGTGGGGAACCTGATACAAAAATGCATTAGTCCAATTTGTCACATTTCACAGTTGCATGCAACGAGGAAGTAAATAGAAAAAACGGAGCATTAAAATGGAGAGTATATGACAGGATAATGAATAAATTGATGAAGGTTGGTGCGAATGTTCGAAGTTTTGAAGGTGATTGACCTTAGTCCATGTTATCCCGAGTCTTTAACCCTGTCGACTTATACCATCACTGAGATCCTAGCGTTGTAGCCTAGGTCTTCCTACGTATCTCGAACAGACAGTCAGAGATTTCATGGATCAGTACCATTTCCTGTTCTGCTCGCCTTTAGCTTTCTTCCGACTTAATGCTAATTCGGCTAACATTGAGGTAGGCAGTTCCTTGATATCTGCATCATATATTGTAGCTGCCTCATTTTGTGAAGGTTTATCACTTTATCCACTGACCTACTTCTCACATCTAACCTAAACATTTTTTATGTAGTCGTTTCAAGTACATTTGTGAATGCTGTGAAAGGGATGTCGGTGGAATATCTGTAATCCTTTCAAGTGAATTTGAGTGTATGTTTCTGAAAATCATTGTACTGGAACAGAACAACTGCTTTTACACTTTCTTATTTTCAGCATTTTAGTATAGCTGTTTGAATCGCATACTTGTATATTCATGTAGGCGAAATGGTGTTTGGTGGTGTTTTGTCCACATACATATACATGTATAAATCATGAAATGAAGTGATAAATTTCGGTGACAAGAGAAAGTTACTAGAAATGGACTGTTGTAGCTTTAAACGTTTGTTTGGTCTGTTATCATTCTCGTTCTTGTTTTCCTTATCACTGACTTGCGTAGTCTCTTTTTCACTGTTTTGTCCTTCCTGCTTTTTTTCCAAGCTTCCTATTGACGTTATTTTTGTTCACATTTGATCTCAGTGTTATCTATATTTTCCATATTCGTATTAGATTTATTAGCATCCATAATTATTGTTGTAGTTCCTGTGATTCAGTTGTCAACTCTTTTGGCGTTTATTAGGTTGATTGCTGTTTTCTCTTTATTTTAAGCGCATAATATGTAAGAAGCGAAAGCGTAGGCGAAGATGGCGAACTAAGTGACATGTTGAGTCTTTTTTAATCCTTCGTGTTATTCTCTCAATTATTTTGTGGTTTATTTTTTTCTGATATCTTTAAAGCATTATATTTGGAAAAACGAAAGATAATTTCTTGTGATAATAGTCATTGTTCGGTTAACTAATGATTTGCGCGTGGAACAACGGATATCCTTTTTGTATAAACCTTTTAGATGTGAATAGTTACTTTGGTCTGCATCTGTCTACTTTAAACTGAATTCAAATTTTATTTGTGTGATGACTGAATTTATAAAGAAAAATCCCAAGTTGTGATAGGATTGGAGTCAGCGGTCACTGGGTCACTGAATCGATATTTTACAAATCGAGTTATGAAACCCAGAGGCTAACCAACTCTCATTTTTCCTTGTTATAGTGTGAAGTAATATTGACAAAATTTACATTAGAAACCGTATATTCCTGAGATCTGTTACAACAAATCGTTTTGTTCCGAAGTTTCGAGAGAAATCACGTGAACCAATGTGTAAATATCAGATTAGTTAGATAAAAATCAATGCGATACTCAAATCAACAAAGGTGTTGAAATAGCCAAGACCATTGTAAATATATTCAAGCCCTTGTATTTTGTATATATTTTTTGGCGTTGCAATACACCTTCTGTTATCTTACCACTTTTTGTATTTACGGAGTAACTGAGTTGTCATTAACAATGGAACCGGAAAGTTGTTGTCCAATGGTTCATATATACAGACTTTGACTTCGCTAAAATGGCCCTGGGCGCATAGTAGGTTGTACCAACAACCTGAATCTTTTCTTCAAAATTTGGCTATTTGACTTTACCCCTGTGTGGCGATGTGATGTACTCATTTTTCTTAGGGAACAGAATACTGATTTAATTAATCTCAACGTTCCGATTTTATACCTGTTAGTAAAATTTATTGGATATCCATTTCGCATCAATGTATTCGTCAACAAATAGGCTTTTGTTTGTTTTATATTTTCTGTGCAAAAACGATCAACTCTACTAAATAAGCCTGACTTGAATTGAACTGGATAACAACTATAGGGACTAAGGTTATTGCCCTATCCAAGTCACCTTCCTGTAGATAAACCGTGTGGTTGCACATTCCCCGCTTTAACTAGTCAGTATGTCTAAAAATGGTAATTTGTCATTCACATCTCAACTGAGGTTAATGTGACTTTGTGTAGTATTCATTTTCTGTAATACGTACGTCGACTCATGTTTTTCAAAAGTAACAATTATATCATCTCTCTTATAAAAACAGACGTTACTAATCAAAGTTTTGACTAACTTTTCGACGTATAACATATACGCACCAGTCAAAAAGCTTCCTAAAGGATTAGTCCTGACAACACCATAAAGTTGTTGAAAATATTCACCTTTGAATTTGAACTGGGTGTTATCAGTGTATAATAAGAGTAAATATTTTAAAGTTGTAAGCATAAGGGAAAATGAAAGATTTTTAGAAGGTAATTGCGTTGTTGATTCACCATTATCTGTTCTTTTGGCTGAAATTATGAAAGAACTACTTTAGGTGTCATTTCACATAGTTTAGATGTTCTACTATACTCTACCACAACCGCAGCTCATCTCTTGGCTTCAGGCAAAACGCTAAACAATCCCCGGTAAACTTCATCTTCCACTTCACCTGAATTGCAGTCAGTGGCTATAGAACTACAAATGACAAAAAGGAAACCCCATTCTTCACCATTTTAACCACTCACAGGAAAGACCAAAAGTATTGTCAGTCAACTGTAACTCAGTACAGTACAGTACAGGAGTCCACTTTCTGCCTTAGGATTGACTGACTGACTGACTGACTGAATGAATCACCAAACACTATATATATATATATACAAAACCACATGAACTAGCCATCAAATCTGTAGAAACTCAAAGAGTGGATTGTGCAAACTCGCCAAATCGTCTGGATGAATTCAAGTGAATAACCACACCCGGATCCTCTTTGTGCATCTGTGTGCATGTCTGGCAAACACAGACCACCTCCATGACCCGAGATGTCAGAATCTCGGTTCACAGTGCTTGTCATCGGACTCGATAAAGGATGTGGACGTTGAAAGCTGTGATATGCTATGCAGTTTGGAGTGCGGTTTCAATACACTAGCGAGGCTATTCTGTCAAGTTGACTGGTTACTAAGTGTTGCATAACTGAAAGGAATTCAACATGACGTAGGAATATTGATGGGGAGATGTGAGGAAGAATTAGAAGGCAACAATTTCGAGAGTAAATGGTGGTGAGAATGGACGAGAGCGCTGATAGTGGTATGGGGTTGGTTGACACTTCCCTGTTGTTCACACATTGGAAGGCCACTTCCTCATGAGTTACTCGACAAAAGTTGTGGATTAGTAGGAATATTCTTAGCGATACGAATGGGTAACCTCAAATCTCAACAGATATCAGCTTGAGTCTGTCCATACTTAATCTTTTTGTGCCTTTTTTTATCAGATTGTGTTGATTTCGTCTTCGTACCTGTGGAAACATTGCAACCATATGCCTCAGAGGTTCATGAAACTGAAAAGAATGTCCTATTTTGAAGGTCGGCTTTTCTCAACGCATTATCATCAGAGAGAAAAGACACTGTGGACTTGGAATATCCACCACTCTTCGGAAAAGTTTCATCGAATATCAGACTTTACATTTGTTCCTGTACGTTCATCCTCTGGTCTCCACAACAGCGGAAGTTGTCTTCCCTATGAAAGTATCCTCCCTTAGCTTGACATCTATCCAACAGGCTTTTGTGGTATGGTAGGATCTTAGAAATGATTAGTTGTAATTAGTAGAGCTCGTTGGTTCACTGTGATATGCAAGCCTTAACATCACATCAAGGTTGCAGCTTTTTGTCTTGTTTTCTTTCTTACTTAATCCTGCAACTGGTAAACATTCTGCTTCAGCATGTCGCTTCAGTTTGTTTTATTTTGTCTTGTCAAAGGTATTATTTTGACACTGATGCTGTTTGAGAATTTATCTCACAGTTTTCAGAAAGATAATCAAAATGGCGAATTTTTAATGATGATTTTCACGCATAAATATTATGATTTATTTTCTGTATATGTCAGGTACAGAAAGAAATTTAGATATAACGTTTTAGCTTTCTTCTTTGCTAAATATAAACTAGTCTTAAAGGTTGTGTCCTGAATTTTCCTTTAATTCTGCTACAGCTTATTTGTTCTATGTGATTTAATCATGATACTATTATTATCATTACTCACTTTTGTTTTCATTGGTTTGTATGTGAACTAGGCTACCAAAGAGGGGTCGAAATCTCCACAGTCTAGATCCGGCGTTTGTTCTAATCCGACTGACAATAATATTAGTGGTGGCGGTGGTGGTATCGGTTCACATAAAAATGTAAGTGAATAAAAAATGTGTGCCATTCACAATGTGTTGACATACAGTCTCCTGCGCCGAATATCTCTATATTGCCGAGATCGATCAACTCGGTCTGGTATATTTTATCACATCTCTGTTTGGTAATCATGGGAATCAAAAATCCATATTTACAGCCAAGGCTTTTGAATATTTTGACAGTTGGATTTGAGTTTTAAGATTTCATACAGGGATTATTTAACTTTGCTATGAAACACCATCTTTAGTGCAAATTCAAAAGCTGCATAATTGTTTATGTCTGGTTCTACATTGATCTGTCTGTCTGATTGTTTATAGAAATCACTACTTCTTGGTTGGATAACAAGCGCATTTATTGATTGGTACCTTCATTTCTTGTTGCTTTTTATTGATTAATATCAGATTCAATTGATGTTTAATCACTGTGTAAGAAGTATCTATTCATTTCTTCTCGGCTTTTGTACTAAAGCATTTCACTCATATCATCTTCTGGTCTTACTACTTTTTTCTGTTATCTGACTGTCGATTACACTTAATGTATGTCAGCAAGTCAAGTTATGTATTAATGCTAATTTTCGTTCCCTACCTCACATTTCCTGCAAATCACATAGTAGTTCAAATTTTCGGAAGTCATCAGTTTACTATGAAAGTAAATATGTAGACTGTTACTGAATATAAACCCTGGAAATTTGAAAAAGAAGTCAGCAAAATGATTCAAATTGGAAGATACGAGGGAAATAAATAAGATTTAATTATTCAGTGGGTCACTTTTTGCCGGGAATTAAAATAAGTTTGTAAGCGAACATTTATGTCATATCTAGTCGATCTGTGATTCAACTAAATAAGCGAGTGTGATTACCTTAGATACATCTCTGTGATGCAGCCCTTAGTTATGTGTTATGCGTAATTTTAATGGTGAAAAAGGCTGTATTTATGATTAGCGATGGATTTCTGGAATGTATAAGTGGGATATTTCCGGACTTTATGCTCTAGTATTCACAGTATTTGCTTGTATTATTCTACTCGTCTTTGTTACCATGTTTTTGTGTAATCGACATCATCAGATAACCTTTATTCCACCTTTTATAACTAACTGCAGAAATAATCCTGACATTTGTGAGGAAATGATTTGACACTGGGTGATGATTGAAGGTGAAATGAGAATTTGAACCACAGCAGGATTCGAACCAGGGGCCACCGGGTTTCCAGTCCAGTACTCTACCAACTGAGCAACGAGGTCTGAGTACTGACCACATTCTTATTTCCCTTCACTCACCAAGGGTTTCGACCGAATACTGAAAACTATAAGTTACTGGACAGTTGCTTCATCGTAGATGAAGACTTTAGTAGTGTGCACTCAGGACCCCTGCAAGAAATCAGTCAACTCTTCACAATCGTCTGGGGTTCACTAGTAGCTTATTCTGAAACAAAACCCCGTAGTGACAAATTATGACCTGTGGCATTGACCGATCCTAATGTGAGGATAGATGTTCATCGATGGTGTCAGACAACGGTCGTACTACATTTTGAATTGACAGGAATTAGATAACATGGGCTCATTGAATTTTAACTATGAACTAATGGTAATGTGTACACCATGAAGCCGGCTGACCTTTGTTTCAGTCCCTCATGGCGTCATGGGTCCACACCGTCGGATAGTCCTTAACTAGGACGAAACAGCTACCCAGTGCTTTCTAGTTTCCAGCTTTTTTTGACCGGTGTTAATCCATAAAAACCCTTTTGAAGTTAACTAAAGAATCGCTTCTGGAGTGCATAAAAATAGTATTTCTCCACTCATGACAGAATGACATTTAATTGCGCACATGTTCACATGCTTCTTTATCGTTTCCGTGTTCTGTATTTTATCTTCTTTTCACACAACTTCTTGCCACTTGAATTCATATTGGCAAATATCATGATAATGTTGTATACGTGTGTATTTATTATTCAGAGGAAATTCTTTCATTGTTAAAGGCGGGACATTGGTTCCGTCGAGGTCTCAGATACACCCTACTGACAAGTGTTAACTAGCACAAGGGCTTCCTGCTGATTATCTCCATCCAACTAGCATCTATTCTAGTGCATCACGATGGTGAGTTTACTGGTCTGGTGACCACATTGTAAAATGATCGATAAAATTCGATCAGCGCTTAGAACTAGACAAAATGGAGTTTGTCACCCTCCAATGAACAATCATTATACATGAATATTTTTTTACCTATCTCTGAGTTATTTTTCATTACCTGCAAACAACATCAGCATTTATCCTTCAGATTTTTTTCTTGTTTGAGAATGTTATTTACCCGGCAAATCTATTCTTAGTTGTTTTGTCTTGTGTGATTCATTGCATGTTTTGTCTCACTTGTTTGTACAATTTGACAATCTACATCTTCCACCTGCTTCGTTGTCTATGTGTCTAAACTTTTCTCCAATCAAGTCACCACCTTTCATACTCCTGATTGGTTAAATATTTTCTCTGCTCTTAGTTGGCAAGGTTAAAAAAATCTCGTATTTCTGAGAGAAGAAGAAATTAGTATCATGTGTTGCGACAAATCTTAAATTCTGACGTCACTATGCCCGAAACGGTTGTTCATATGATAATTGTTTGTACTGTGTGTGGATGACCCGTAATATTTATTCAACATATTGTTTCTTTTTATGGTTAGTATTCCTTTGTTTGTCTCAAGATCTTGTCCTACTTCAAATTGGCTTCACTTTATTTGAAGTATCTAAGAATTCTGGGTATTCTTTCGCTCATAGCAGTGTTTCGCCTTGAAATCACATATTAGTCGGGTTTTTATCAAAATAAATTTGTTGCTACCTGGCAATCATTAACATGCTGGATATGTGTTCTCACAGATATTTTTTGACCATACGTGAATAGTTATTATTGCAACGGTAGCACTTCTGTACTATGATAGAGTATAAATCCATATTAAATAAGCTTATTTGATGTAACGCAGAGAAACAGTATTATTCTCTACCTCAGCTTGAATACCGAAGGCCTGTTACCATTTGCCAAATTACATCACCTATCACCCCGACCAACCAGATATACAACTACCTATCAAACGATGAGTACACTCCATTACACTCCGTTCTATCCTGTTGAACGGCTCTGAGACATTCCCGTTTAAAGTGATTACATTGTTTTCTTCACAGATGTCTCCACAGCATTGCTCGCGTTCCGTCGAATCACTGTGTGAGCAATGTTGAGGTCAGCTGAGGACTACTAGGCAAGACAGGCTAGTCGATTGATCAGGTTGTGAACATCAGTCGACTGACATGCCTCCAACATGTAATCCGAATGTTGAGCCACCGATCACATCACGTGACATGTTGGGGAATGTTGGATTAGGTTGGAAGAGAGTTCAGGGTGGTCAGACCAAAACGTGGCACCAGTCGATGAAGTCGCCAACTGCTGGTGTGAACAGTGTTGGGAGATGTAGACTGCTCGGTTGGGGTCTCCGAAACGAAAGGAATCAGTAGTTGAGAACTAACTCTTGGTGACATGGTTGAAAATCGGTCACAATGCCACATTTGTATTCACTCAGTGATATCTATCCTCTTCTAAAGCTTGAATATTCGCACTATCAGTTATCTTCAGATTGTTTATTCTCTTAAATAAATAACTTTAACTTATTTCAAAGTAGACATTTTCTATCGACTTGTTCTGTGTATACTATTGTGAAGTGTGGCAACTTGAGGTGATGCACCTGTGTGAGGTTCTAAATTCATGTTTAGGAATATTGCCCTATCTCACTGTATACACCGCAACAGCCGTGTTTTTTCTTAATAGGTTGTCTTGTTAGGATATTATTGAAGAGACGTGGAAAATCCTACCAATACTGAGAGCAAGATCAATAACAATTAAAAATCCAAGTGTTGGAAGTTATACGATTAGTTTGATATAATTATGAGCGATACATCTTGCTCGAAACTTCATGTGAAAGTTATTTACACTGTATTTTGTCAAATAAATTAATTCAGTGTGATATGAACACTTATTTCGATTTACCGGTGTTAGTTAAAAAAGGGAAGAAATATCAAGTTATGAGCTTTCACAATTTAATGAAGTGAAATATCTTACTGAATGCGTCATTAGAGAAAAAGAAAGTATGATCAAATAATATTTAATTTCTTATTACGACAGACAATGAATGCACTGACGCCAATTAAGTCAATTTCCTTTAACAGGATTACCTTAAACATTTCATCTTCAGGATGAAAAACACGAGTCTAGCCATCCTTGTGATTATCGGTTATTAAATTCATAAATTGATGTAGTATACTGCGATTCATTTAAAGTGTCTACTGCTTGTCATCTGTACACCGTTTAGTCCGACATATTGAGAAAGGTGGTGGTTGTGCAAATGCAATACGTATTTGAGTCCATTCAGTTTATATAAGTTTATAGCTTTACTGGTTTTTACTTTATCAAACCCTACATTCTATATAAATCTTATGATTTAAATACTTTCAAAGTTAACAATGGCAAATAATGATAATCTTTTCATCTTATCTTGCATAACGGAACACAATATTAACTTATTCATTCATCTTTGAATGGCCAATTGAACTTCTTTTGCTAGTACATGTTACTTCCAGTTGATTAGTTTTTAATAAATTGGTGATGTAGTAGTTGTCTCAGCGGTATCATTAAATTTCACTTTCATTAGTATGCAAGCTTATAAAGTCAAAATTAGGTTACATTTCTGTCTTATACGTGAAGTGTTGTCTTCTGTTATCATCATATAACAAATGGATGTTCTCCCTCTCCGTATTTATTGTTTGTATATAGGGTACTGTTTATATTTCTATAGTACAAAATATGTTAAGAAGTACTATATCACTCGAATGTTATTTATATCATATTTTACTGTCATTATCGTTGTTATTATTGTCATGCTCACCGCCGTCATAGATCTTGCTGATATTGTAATTCTTATTTTAGTGTGTATATTCATCATTGAACACATTACATACACATTATAACTTATCTT